ACATTTTCCCCTTCATCATAAACATCCAGGGTGTAAATTCCACTGTCATTTTTGATAGGCTTATCTAACCTCAGGGTTCCGTTAGAGAACAGAGTTGTTCTGTTTTTGTATAAATCATGCAAAGATGAGATGCCATTTTGGAACTTTGCCACTTTAAGGTCTTTAGTTTTCCATTCTAAATCCTTAATGTTGGTCAGTGGCATGTCTGGTAGGAAAAGAGACACAAACTCTCCAACATTTCTGGTTGCCATTAAATGCTCCTTCCTAGCCCCACTCATGCTGAAGAAATTGATCAAAACAAATAAAGAAAACCATAGTATCATCTTGTATTCAGTAATTACTGAACTCATGAAACCATGACACATCTGTATAACTTTGTGAACAAATTTAAATAATAAGAAGCATCTGGTGCAATCAGAAACAAAAATATGAACCAACAGTAAGATACAGCACTTGAACACGTCTCCTTGCTATAGTAGACATGTCTCTACACTACATTTACTGTTTACAGGCTCAGCGAGCGACAATGGCTTTGTGATCTCAGAGTAGGTTCTGTTCATGGTTTGTAAGGGTTTAGGGGAACAGTGAGCCACTAGATGCGAAGTATGATTTTCAGCATTAAGCAGAAGATGACTTTTCATTACGAGGTGCACAACACAAACATACTTCCATTTTAAGACTCAGTTGGAATAGATATACAGATCTATTTCAGAATGGTGCAAGCTGCTGTCAGTATTAGAAAATAAATACTTCCATTACATTAAACACTTTTGATAGCCACGTTCACTCTCAGGTGTAATCTGCAGCATATGAATGCTGTTTTTTTCTATTTTTGTTTTTATTGTAATACAGAACATATAGCAAGTGTTTAATATTATTTTTCCAGACTGATAATATTTCTTATACATTTCATATTTAATAACTTTTTTATGATTTGCTTCTAAAGTACAAAGTGATGCTTTATATTGCATATCAAATTATACGAATACAATGTGTATACACTGTACTGTATATCCACTAGATCATTTTAAACATTTGCAATGCTTTAACATAGTAGGTTAGTGTTTATATATTTTAGTAAACAGTTCAATTATATTGTTACGATTTCTGAATGTCATGCAGCCTAAAGAGGCGCAAATAAATGAAAACTGGAAGGTGTATATTTTCATAAAAAATCAATAACCAACTGTACAAAGTGCTTCAAAATCACATTTACCCCTGTAAAACGTTCAAGTTATTATTACTTGAGCACAGAACAAATCTTGCATTCTCACAAAAACGAGAAAATTAAGGAAGTACATTACAATATCAAGTGTGTAAAAATGACCAAAGACTGTACAGTACATAGTTGTACTCAATAACACAAAATAGGTGATGTTGACAGGGCTTTTATTTTGGGACTGACTACAGGAGATGTCAGTTATCATTCATCACATATGATATTTCTTTGTAAATTCATTACTTAACTAATTTCTTAAGATGATAAATTAATAGTTCATGCACTAGATTAAAGCTTACCTCAGTACCTAGGAATGTATGTTGTGCTATTTTTATGATGTTTTAAAATGCATTCTGAAATGATACTTTTTTACAGTATTTAAATAGTTTACAAATGGTAGAAATGAATCATAATTTGGATTTATTTGGACCCTTCTGTGTTTTTGTTTTCATTGGTATTCCACTGCAACACCTCCTCACAATTACATGAAAAATCCAGTAAAATAACCGAAAGAAATGAGGTGGTGAATGATAGAAAGGACTAACGGGTATTTAAGAGACAACACCCTTGAAACCCTTTATTGCTGATAAGACATCATTGCGAAACATGCTGTACCAGAAATATTCTTTATACTGAACCTGAGTTGAGGCCTAAATTACAGTATGTACAGTATGTAAAAAAGCAGCAGCCTTAGAAACAATATGTGAATGAGATCCATAAAGCATGAAACAGAAACATACTGTATAAGAAAGAGACAGGAATATCACATTGTCATAGAAAAAAAGAGAGAAATATCACATTCCTATTGATTAATGAAGTGTAAAACTCTGTTTTTACAATTGATTTGTAAGAGTTTTAATTCGATTCTCAACTACAGTCTCAAAACTGAAGATACAGTTTGACAAAGGCCTTTTTCTTTTTTGTGTTGATGCTGAAGATACAGTAAGTGCAGGGGAATTGGTATTTTTGATCTTGCTTGTAATAAACCTTGCTCTTTGTTAACTATGGCAAAACCCAAAACCACATCCCCTTTAGATTTGCGTATACTTTATGCAGTTGTTTGACACTTTAGTTTGGCTGTAGATCACAATCACATGAAAAACAGGTTTCTTTTCTCTCATCTTTTTGACAACTTTATTTGCTGCTTGAGTGCAAACTTCATCTTCTGTGAAAACACCCCTATCACAATCACAATTGCGAACTTAAATTAATTTTTATCCACATTTTTCCACATTCTTATGACAAATGAAATGGAAAATGTAATAATTCCCTGTCGTACATTAGTGCACCTGTTTGCTAAATCTACAGACATTTTTAAACAATGTCAAGTCAAAGGATATCTTAAGGTATCAAAGTGCAAAGTTCAGATTAGAAAGTTTAATGATTATATATGTGTTACATACAACAAGGTAGAAATGTGTCACATTGCTTAGGTTTTAGTATTTACAAGTTGAAATCTATTAAAACTTTATATACAGTATAAGCTTCAAATAAGTGTGATAAAAAAGTGACAGTTTTAATGAAAATGCAAGAACTAAGAGTTTTTAGAGAAGTGTCAAATACACAAGCTATATTATTTTAATATATAATATTTATATAACATTATATAATGTAATATTTCTCACTGTTTGTCAACCTTCTTATGATTCATTCTACAATCAAAAGCAAAAGGACTCTTGCCACAAATGTTAGAATGCCCCCCCTTTAAAATGACTAGTGTTTCTTTACTGTATCTCTTAAGAAATCCAAAAGTTCTTCCGTTGTGTTTATGAAAACGAATATGTCTCTATCCTTTTTAAGGGAGCAGCTTAAGGGTGTTACATAACCTGGTTCCAATGTATGTTATGAGAAGAAATAGAAACATGGCTCAAAAAGCAACAGTACTGTATGTATCTGAGAAACAGTACATCCAGCCATCCATTTTCTGTCTGCTTTGTCCAGCACAGGGTTGCAGATGACACCAGAGCCTATCCTGTGAAGAAATGAGCACAAGAGAAGGACACAGATCCACTGCAGGGCACATACTGTACAGACAAACACCCACACTTGGACCGGCTTCTCCAGGAAGTTAATTGACCTACTGTACCAGTATGTCTTTAAACCGTGGGAGGAAACAAATATACCTGGAGGAAACCACGTGAACACAGGGTGAAACATAAAAGCACCATGCAGGGCACCAGTGCTACAGTGCAGCACCAATAACCACTGCACCGTCATGCCAACCCAGCACATTAAACGAGAACAAAATAGTCACAGACAACTGTATCTTAAGAGTGGAATCAATTCAGTTTTCTGCTTTCAAGGATATAACTGATTCATAAACACAAGTCCTGAATAAAAATGCATTCAACTGCAAACAGAGATATAATTGTCAAGTCATGGTCAGAAATTGCAAGATATAAATATATGACCCTCTATAACATTGATATTTTTAGATTGAAGTACGTAGAATTCTATAGTGTAAAGATGGAAACATATCAGTTGCTCAGTGACTATCCTCGGTGTTACCAAAATAAAAACAGGCATCGAGTGGTAAAGATGGTCTGGGTGGAAGGGAGCTCTTTACCAGTGATGGCCTCGGCTGTCTCTAGCTTCTGTAGCTTTTTTTAAATAAAAATGGGTCAAATGGCCTCCATTAGTTGTTAACCTTTTTACATTTTTATATTTGTTTATATGGTTTATAAATGTTACATTAAAGATTCCCACGTATACTACCTCAAATATTTGTTTTTATCTTTACTGAAAAAGAGACCGTACTGTATTCTGAGAAAGCAAACAGAAAAAATGCAAAAAGCAGATTTGTAAATCAGAGCATTGTTATTCAGATGGTGTTCTGCAAAACTGCAGGTGAACTGCTAGATTTAAAAGCAACACTATGTACTGTATGAGGTGTTGAATTGAACAGAATGAAATGAAATTACACCTGTTACATATCACAGCTTGTTGCAAAATGCCATCCTACTCAGGAAATCTATTAAAAACTTACGTCACAAAAGACCATAAAATGTACTTAAAAGGCAAATAAATCTAAATGCAAATGCAAATACGTACCTGTGCATTAATGGTGGAGTTCTGGATATCTGCAGGTCTCCCTCATACAAATCCTGTGTCAAGAATTGGCTGCCAATTCACAGTCCTCACAGTGCTTAAGCACTGCTACTGTCAGAGTTTGACAACTAGACACTCTGCCAGGTTTGTTAGTGTGTAATTTTAAGTGTCTTAAATCTTTATGTTTCAGACCCATTCAAATTATGTTTAAAGATGATGGATTTGAAAGATTGTGTGATTTCACTATTTTAAAAATAATTTTTCTGTTTTTTATACATTTTCAAATTTTCTCTTAGAAATAAATAAGTGGCTCAAAACTGAGCATTCCGGGACTAAAGTTTTATTTTGCCATGTACCATATATTACTCTTATTAGGGAACAGGTAAGGGAAGGGGTTTTCAGGAGTGAAGAAGGCTCTACAGCCAAAATGTTGTGTTTTCTTTCTTTTCTTTTCAGCAGGGAATAAACCTGTTACCTGTTCCTTTGCAGCCTACGCATGCTGACGCAGCTACTCTACCTAATTGAATTACTCTTATTATTTTCTTATTAGTGTTAGATTGACATTTCACGAAGCAGACTTTATTTAACCTTTGGGTATATTGAATCTTTGCATTAGTGAGTCTTAAAACATGTTTCGAAGACTGAAAAATGAGAGATAAGGATTCTATTATTTCTTATTAGTCTTTCTGAATAGAACAGAAAAAATCCAAAATCTTACACAATCCAAGATAGGGCAATTTAATTTTTCATCATAACAATTTAAATACTTTCATCATAAGAATGTTACACATTTAACACAGTATTGTACTACTGAAATATTTAAAGTGAATACAAATATACTTAAGCTCCAATAATGCTATAATATTATTTCTATGAATGCCTTGACTATAGCCTACAGGCTAGAACAACACAGCATAAAATATTAGATAAATATTTCTATGTTCTTTGTACAGTAACTGTTAAAAAAACAATACAGACTTATTTAAGCAAAGGTTCTATTCACAGGGTTTACTGTACATCAAGAAAACCAAGTAAACATATACAGTATAATGTACTGTATTATTTCCTATTATGTTGAGTAATTTGTTCCATCACTTACTGTACTGTACTGTACATCACAAATCACTCTTTACATACGAATTGTTAATATGGCAGGTGCTTCCAGAAACTCTTGTCATTTTATATATACATTATTCAGTATATATAGAAATGACTCTCAACTGAAAAAACATAAAATTTTAAATTGGTAATAATTTCAGATTTGGATCTAATCTACAACAGAATCCACAATATGTGTAGGTTCTGTGTTGAAAGTAGAAACCATTCATGCAGACAAGAAATTGCACAATGTATACTGAAAGCATTATACAGAATATTGAAACAGCAAATGCCTATTAATTTTATAAACCTACTGTATGATAGAAAAAGCATTTAAATTTCTCACCGATATTTAGATATAGTATAGTTTTTACATTCATTATGAGTTTTTAAAATTTTTTAAACTAAAAAGGGCATTTTTAGTTCTTTGTTAATATTTTGGAAGAAACAGCAGATGCTAAGAACATAGCGTATGAATCATACTCAATGCCAAAATGGGCTGATTTGTTCCAGTGCTACAGGTGAGTTTTCTTTTATGGATGACTCTAAGGGCAGCTGCAAGTGACATATATTTTTTATCTGACTTGTGATGTTTTTTGTTTTTTTTTAACTGTAGCATACACCAAAACCACATCCCCTTTACTTGTGCGTGTATTCTGTTCAGTCTCTTTTGACACTCTTATTTGGCTGTAAACCACACCATCATCAGAAACAGGTGTCGCTTTTCTTCTGTCCACTGTCATCTCAGTATGAACCAGCTCATGGCCTTCATCATCTGCAAAAACAAACCAAGCAAACACACTGAATAGGAAGTCTTCCTAAGATTCTAACTATCCAGTCACTGTTCACTCAAAATCTGATGCTCATTATTTTCTCCTCTGAGTTTATGCTCTTTATCGTGCAAATGAAAAAAAGTTTAAAATGCAGTATTGCTACATCTAGCTCAATGTATGCGCTATTGAAAAATAGTATGATTAATAAATTAATTTCCTAAAATATTATACATCAAGGTAATAGGCATCTCATGCTCAATATGTCAAACATGACAATGAGCTGGAGCTATTCATATTTTTATTCTATTCCATATTTCTGTATTTGGATTTATGGGTTAAAAGTTATTAAATCAACATTTATGACATTTAAAATCATTGCATATCATATAATCATATGATATAAAATAAAAAATAGCATATGTGAGGCTTTACAAAGAACTTAATAATTAAGAGAGAATACATAGGATATACAGTACAGTATCAAGTATTTACATAAAACCTGGACATATGTGACAGTAAAATTATTTCTTACTCTGTTTCCCATCATTTTTGGTTTTCTGGTGCAGCAGGCAGAAAATCACCACAAACATAACAAAGATGACAATGACCTCTCCCAATGCCAGATGAGCTTAGGACATGAAGAAACAATAATGCAAGTGCTAGATATTAACTGCTGAGGGACACAATAAAATATCTACTACAGCTCAAATATACAATCTAAAACAATTCAAATGCTACAAATCTTATATTATTGAGTATCTGTTACATATGTTTTTAAATCACTTCAAACTCCTAATGATGTGCTTATTCTGTATTGTTCAACCCTCCTTATTTTCTAAATGTAACCTACTGTAGGTGAGAAGTGCTGTACTTTGGGACCTTATCAATATTTCTAATAAACTGACAATCAACCCTTTGCTTGATGTCAAGATAGAACCAACAGGTCTCCTGAAAGAAGTAAGGTACTCAGTACTGATTTGTCCCTTATGATGAAATGGTGGGTTAAAGTATTGATTTCATCGAGTGCCTAGTCTAGTGTTAGAATCTTGAATCAGAGTAAACCGAGGAAAGGGTTTTACTTCATCTTTCTTGTTGTTAACTGCATTAAGACAGTCTAAGCTAAACTAAGGCAATGATTTGAATTACTGCAATTGCTCACGACTCTCGATTTAGTCCTTCTCTGTAATGAGATCCTTTATATACATTTTTCTTAAATCTATTAAAGTGATAACACAACACAGGAAGTTAACATACAGTATAGACATTATATAGAATACTGGATGGGTATGAAGACATTCCTACACACATACTGTATGTCAGTGGTTCTCAAACTGTGGTACGCGTACCGGTAGTGGTACATGGAGTGCTGCCAGGCGGTACGCCAAATGACCCTGGAACTGTGTCGTGTGCGCAGAAAAATCGGGACGGGTTTTCATATTTTGTATTTTAATATGTGTCGAATACGCAGCCTACGTACTATGATACAGTGCGCGCTAATACTTCAGTGGACACAAGAGATACTCTGTAATTCCATACCACTCTGTAGGAATGTGTGCTATGGATGCAAATGACCAATTGTATTTAAAAAAAGCTACTGTATCTCCAGCAAATAGGGAGAAAGGAGAATGTGCGTGATTTTGGAACAATGCCAACGTTGTAAACACAGGAATGCATAGAAATACGTGCTATGAACGCAGGTTATCTTGTGAGCACACGAAAGGGTGATTACAGAAAAATCTTTAAGAACTGTTCTAATTTGAGAAAAATACACCGAGCGTCTCTGTGTTTCACTCCCATGCGCATGAAATAAAAACTTTAAATAAATACGGAAATAAAAACGGAAACGCGGAAAAATGCAAGCTTGCGGATTGCTAAAGCAGTTAAGCTACACTATTTTTGAAGAACCTTATTTACCGTTGGCAAAAGAGCTGACACGTATTATGTGTAGAGAAAAAGCTGCTAAACAGCTCGACCTGCTGCCCCCCTCCCCCTGAAAGACACAGTCATTCATAGAATTATTGAAATGAAGGATTATATCAAAAGTACACTGATAGAGCGCGTTAAGATGAGCAGATGTTTTTCACTGCAATTAGATGAGACTGTAGTCGATTTGGCCAATTTGCTCGTTTACGTTAGATACGAGTTTGAGGGCATGTCCCATGAAGACTTTCTGTTCTGTAAACCGCTACCAACAGGAACTACAAGAGAGCACATATTTCAGCTTCTGAATGAATTTATCGAAGAGAATGGCCTCGACTGGATAAAATGCGTCTGAGTTTGTACAGACGGTGCTAGAGCAATGACAAGCTGACATAACGGTGTAGTTGCACGAATTAGATAGGTTGCTCCAGAAATTAATGTACACATTACAACATCCACCGCGAGACCTTTGCCGTCAAGAAAATGCCTGACGATTTAATATCTGTTAGACTCTGTTGTGAATTGTATCAAGGCTCGAAAAATTAATTCACATCTGCTTTGCTCAACTAAACAGGCTCACCCCTCTCACTGAAATGGTGCATTTTTATTAGTTGTTGTTAATGTTTTTTTTCTGTAAAACACTTTGAGAAGCCACCTTTAAAGGCGCTATATCAAATAAAGATTATTATTATAATATTTATTATATGTATGTGTGAGTGTGTGTGCACGTGCGCTCATGTTGGTCATTGAGAATTTCTGGGGTTCCTAAGAGATGATGACTTGTAGGTGGTACTTGGATGCTTTGGTTGGATTGGTACTTGGTCCAAAAAGTTTGAGAACCACTGCTGTATGTAATGTATTATCACAAAAGCTGTGGATGAACATTTACTGAATGAAGATTCAGTTTGGCCTTAGTTCATGTCAGCCTTAACTTCACAGTTTTGGTCACACATTATTAAATCCATTTTCTTTTAACATTTTGGAGAAAGTATTAAAAAATCTTACCATAAAACTTATATGCTAAGGTTTCCTTGGAATCTTGATAAAGAGTTTTGATTTGGCATATGATACTTAAAGTTTCTTTCCCTCCTAAACTGATAAGCACTCTTTTATCTTTCAAGACATCTAGGTCTTCTTTATTTGTGTTCATGAATGCTGGAATTTCTGTATCATTTATGGTGCAGTTTAAAGGCGTTACAAAACCTGGTTGAAAGATAAAGAAGGTAAAATTCACACGTATATCAAATACTGCAGTTAATCTGGATAGTCATAGGAAAAAGAATTGTCTATGAATGAGATAATTTCTTCATATTTCTCCTGAAAAATGATTAGAACATAAATCATGATCTTTCACATCTTTTTTTTTTAAAACAGCAAGTCTAATATACAGGCCAACCTGTGATGTTTCTGAGAGATACTGTTCATGTCTGTTGTATTGTTTAGAAAACTGAAAAGGCTGTCAGGTCATGTCACTCCCTGTCACAATAGATGGAAATAAAAAGAGTCAAAATCAAATTACTAATTTGTTTTGTGCCCTAGAATGAGCAAAATACAGTTTGAAGGAGATTATCATGATATTGTCTTTTTAAACATAGTATCTATTTGAATTACAGGTGATGACAACAATGGCAGCACAAACTCTTCCTCAGTTTTATAGATATAAAAAAACACAAAAGCACAATGTAATCCCTGATTTGTTCTGATGTTTCCTAAATAAGCAAAGATATTATATTTTACTAATTTATTCTTATTCCTTCAATTGACCCATAGTGTAAATTAATATGTGAAAAAACAATTCTAATTACTGTATATTGGTTGAGACATTTTGACAAAATTTTGAGGGGTATTTTATGAATGCCAACTAGTGCCTGCACCTCCTACTTTTTCAGTCTGAAGCTTACAATGCTATTGCTTACTGACATGTAAAGCATTTTTAAATTCTTACCTGAACACGCAGAAATCACATGACTAGTATAATTCTCACTTATTCCATTTCTAGCAGTACAGACAAGATTTCCAGAGACTGATTGCTTCAGTATGATAATGTTGTCTTCATCACTGAGGTATGCCACACTTTCATTCAAAGCCTTTCCATCTAAAGCCCAGGTATATGAAGGACGATCACCCTCCTCTGCCCAACAGGTAACTATCACCTCCCCATGAGGAAGACAAGTGTGTTTTACCACAGGCTGTGAGACAGGGGCTGAAAGAGAAAGGATTCTGGCTACATACTGTAAGTAGTACAGGTGTTGCACCAAAAGACCAAACTGTTTGTTTTGTTTGTATTTGAAGAATTATAATGCACAGGCCTAGTAATTTAATTTTGAAGGTTTTGCATAAGCCCCCTATTTTAAGAATAAAAATGATAGCACACTCCATCAAGCCAAATAAACAAAACTGTGTACTGTAAATTATATTATCTGAGCAACTGGGTAGAAGGGGGTTCTCTGTTTCAGATGATATTGCCATGGAGAACGTTTGGGTGTTGGACATTGGACTGAGGCCTGATCAAAGGCCTTCTTGACACAGACACTAGACATTTACCATACCATGCTGCAGGCAAAGTGTGGGGGTTGGCCAAACTGGTTTGCTGAGAAACTGCTGCTGTTACGACCACGCACGGCACCGGTCATTAATTTACGGTAGCCTCATTCGTTCACTAACTCAGCACACCCGTTTCCCTCACTACTTAAACCCTGAATGCCCTCACTTTCACGCTCGGTATTTGGAGTCTTTGGCTAGAGCTTGCTCCCTCGGCTGCCTTCTTCCGCACGCTCTTTCGGAAACGTCTTTCTCGGCCTGCTGACCTTAACCCAGATCTGTGACTTTGCTCTTCGGGATTTCCCTTGACGGATTTGTTTGCCATTGGATTTAGGACACACGCCCCACAGGGCCATGCTATTTGGATGGCATCTCACCCTAACAGCTGCTGGACTTGTTTTGGACGTACTGTATGTTGGTAACCGTGGGGTTTCTTTGTACTGTTCTGTCAGCGCGTGATTCTGGCGAGTGTATTTTATTATGTGTAATGGGTACAATGATAGACTGAAAGAAATGGGACACGAAATATGAAAATTGTCTGGTCTATGGATGAACTGGTGATTCTGAGAGATGAAAAGAACCTGTGGAAAGTTGGTGAGGGGCCTCGCACTCTTTATAATTGCTAGGTGGCGTAGTTGTGCACAAAACAAGAATAAGTTTTATTTTTAGGGGTCACCTTACCATGGCAATATATTCCAGTTGTTTTTTTTATAATGCATCCAACTATTTTCTAAACCTCTTTATCCAGTACACATAATTTTCAAGTATACAGTATTTAAAGAAATTATAAAAAGAACTCTTACCCATTATTTCCAATGTGATGTTAGCTTTGTGAACTATTTTTCCACTTTTGTCATGTAATTCCACAGAGTAAACTCCAGAGTCTTCTCTTTGTGTGTAGTTGAGTTGGAGGGATCCATTCATGAAAATTGTAGCCCTGTATGTATAAAGATCTGAAGGTTGAGAGACATTATTTTTAAAACTCCCCACACGTTTACTTCCTTTATTCCAGGTTGCTTCAGAAAAATCTTTGTTTGGTGTTGAAGGGTATAATACCATTGATGAACCAAGTTTTCCATTAAATCTTCCTGGACTTGTAGCCTCTTCTGTACTTCCTGAATTCATAAACAATGAAAATAACATGAATTCGCAGATGTTTACAATCTGTGAAATGTGGATGTGAACTACTGTAAGACACATATTTTCTCTCTCTCGTATTGCCACACTTTGAAAACAAAAATCATCTAACCATGTTCCATGAGGAGAAATAAAAACATGACCCAAAAAGATGTCTGTGAAGCCGTACATCCATTCATTCATTCATTTTCGATCTGCTTTATCCAGTACAAGGTCATAGAGAATACTGGAGCCTAAAATGCAATGGGCACAAGGCAGGATACACCCTGGATAGGATGCCAGTCCATCACAGAGCACACACAGACACAAGCATACATACTAATACCATGGCCATTTTTTTCCCTGAAGCTGATTAACCTACCAGTATGTCTTTGGACTGTGGAAAGAAACCCATGAAAACACAGGGAGAATATGCAAACTACACAGATAACACTCCAGGAATTTAAACTAGGCTCCCAGAGCTACAAGGCAGAAGTGTTAACAACTGCACCCCTGTTGCACCCCAGTATACAGAATAGAGCACAAAATAGTCTGAGAAAAACTGCATCTTTAGAGTGGAATATACTCACATTTAGGCTTAGGAACATACTGTAGGAGTGCACAGTGACAAGATGGAAATATTTCAGTCACATAGTAACTGCCCTCAACATTATAAAATTAAAACACTCTTCCTTCTTTATCTAATTACAGTATATTTATGTGTTTTAGATCTTTTTAGTTTTTGATATATTTTAGTGCCACATGTATGTCTACAGTATATACTGTGTATAAATCAGTCTCTAGACAATATTTCAATCAAGAAGAATTAATCATGTTCAAGACAAAAGGGCTGGTTATGTACAAAACATTCTATTTAACAATGTTACAATAAAGTCATAATAATAAACAGGCAGAAACTGTCTTCAAATAACAAAATATGTACAGTTTACTCATATTGCAGTAGCATTGATCAACAACTCCAGGAGATACAGATAATTTTGTCAATTACACAAATATCACGGCAAAAAAACATTTTTGGGAAATGTCAAACTATTGGAATAAAGAAAATCATAATAAAGTAAGATTATAATCTCAGAGTTTTTTTCTGCAGTATATACAGTAAGAAACTGCTGGTAGAAGTTTCCTTTGTATAAAATGAGGATTCAGGAAAGCCAATTTATATGATCTCACAGAAAACCACTGTATTAAAAAGTAGAAAATCAGAACAACCTTACAAGACCATCAAAGGAAAACATGCACCCGATGTTCGGAAAAGCAAAGCTACGAAACAAATAATCATCTGCTCAGCAAATTGAAAAAAACAATAATAAGTGCATTGATTTACTTTTTAAAGTTAATTTCTGGTGTTAAAATATTTCATGTTGCTCTTGGTTGTATCTCTTTGGAGAGTGGCCTTCTTATAAAGCAGTGATTACCACCAATGTACAAAATCCAACCTACTGGCTATTCTAAACTATTTTCTGACATTATTTTATTTATTTAATGTGTTACCCTACAGTATGCTTTGCAAGCATGTGAATACATTTTTGAAAAGTGGCTTGTCTATTATTAAAGATCACTTTGGCAGAAATGCTGATATTTTAAATTACCAAAATAGATTATTTGTTCTATATGTCGTTCTATACTTTCTGTGTTCTTTCTATTTTCATTCTATTCTGTACAAATTGAATTCCGGACATGAAAAGCAACCCTTATCACGCTATTTTTGTCAAAGCTGGTTCTCGACTTCTTTCAAAAAATGGCTTAACGAGATCCTCAGATCAATTAGCTATTAACAGACAAACACGTCAGATGGCACAAATGGCCTCTCTTAAATTATTTACATTTTTACGTTCCTTTATATTGTTTATAAATGATACATTAAAGATTCCCATGTATACTACCAGAAATATGTATTTTTATCTTTATTGCAATTGGGAACTTACCATATTCTGAGAAAGCAAACAGGAACAATGCAAGGAACATCTCTTTAAAGCAGTGCCTGAATATTCAGACTGATGTTCTGCAAAATTGCAGGTGAACTGCTAGATCTAAAAGCAACACCTTATATGAGGTGTGGATTTTAACAGAATGGAGGGAAGTCACATCTGTCATATACTGTATCACAGCTTGTGGTCAGTTGCAAAATGTCATCCCTCGCAGGCAATTTATTAAAAACTTATGGGCCATAAAGGCCATAAAATGTACTTAAAAATAAATATAAATGTAAATTCAAACACGTACTTGTGGAGTAATGGTGTAGTTCTGGGTCTCTGCAGGTCTCCCTCATACAGATCCCGTGTCATGAATTGGCTGCCATTTCACAGTTCTCACAATGCTTACACATGCTGCTAATGTCAAGACAATTTGAAAAAGTGTGCTGCGTTTCACTTCATAAAAACTGTACTGTGTCTGGCTGAAAACTGAGCATTCCAGGACTAAAAGCACAGTTTCTTTCTGCCATGTACCATACAGAACACTAATTGATCAGGTATTTATTCTTCAGTATAGTATAGTATTTTAAATATTAGTGTTAGGATTTATATTTATTTCATAAAGTAGACATTATTTAACTTTTTGTCTATTGAATCTTTGCATTAAGTCTTAAAAATGTTATAAAAATTGTAAATTGAGAAATAAGCATTCCATTATTTTTAATTGGTCTTTCTGAACAAAACAGAAAGTTGGGAAGAAATCCAAACTGTTGCCACAATCCAAGATACAGCAATTTTGTTTGAAAAAAAATAGTATGAATATATTCTTCATAGGAACAGCATGTTACACATTTATAGCGGTTTTGCACTTGTGAAATACTCTGAGATATTTTCAAGTGATTGCAAAGTCATAATCTAAAGCTCCAATAATGTTATAATAATATTTCTACAAATGCCTTGACTACAGCTTCATCCAAACAAAGCTTCAACCTCCCCATCAATCACAAATGATATACCTGCTGCCTGATAGTTGATTTTTTTAGCAAATTACACCTTGTTCTGGATCTCCATCTCTTTACCAGGAATCTCATCTTCCTCTGAAAAAGTGCATGAAAATAATGCAAATACCTTTACTTAGAATTAGTGCATAACTCTCTGACACACTGTCTTATGTGTATTTACAGTATATAACACTTTGTCACCATTACGGCCTCAAAGTGTTTTACATACTGTATCTTAGAGGAGACACCCTAACACAATACCAATGACTGAAATACAACACCAGCCTAAATGATTTCCAGAAGTCGTTCTGAGACACTGGCCCGATTAAACTGCAGTCTGGTGGTAGAAATTGCTTCACCTATTGAAATAAAGGGGAAATGTTGGGAGACCAGATTGAGCAAACCTGGAGTACAATGCTGCCATGATTCCAGTTGTTAACAGCCCTACTCCTTCATTTTTAATGTGATCTTTAAAAATCAGTGCAGGCTGCATTTTACGGTACATTTATTTGAACATCTAATTTACTGAACTGCACCTCCTATAGCTGATCCCTGTCACAATCGTAAGCCCCTCCTCTTAAGGGTGCTTCAGCTCTCTCTTGTTTGTCTCAATTTTTTGCACCTGCCTCCTGTTCCAGCCCCTCCCTACAAAAGCCAGATGCTCCCACCATTCTAGTCTAGGCTTTGGAAGATGGACGCCCTGAAGCCCGCCTACCAGCGAGTCCAGGAGAGGCTCAACGGCATAGGCTTCGCAACAGCGTCCTGACCATCTGGGTCTGCGGGTTATTCCCACCTTTTTATTCCCCCGACCCTTCGCTGGATCCCTCTCCGGCTTTTACCTCCTGTCTTGTCTGTCATTGGTGGATTACCCAGCTCTGGACCTTTGATCACCCGTGGATTTTCCTACGGACTCCCGTTGGACTTGTTTGCCTTGGCCACGCCCCCCAGGATTTCTGTTTCACTCCCCAGATTCTGCCGTCTACACAGGGTCCTGAAAAACGCTTCGTGACAATCCCTGTCAGCCCACTGGCAAGTTGTTTTGGACATACTGGGTCAGAGGGAAGAATTCCACCTACTGCTGCACTAACAAGTAGCAGAACGGTTTTCCTTAGGGGTCTCCAAGCCCAGCACTTACCAGGCCCAACGTTGCTTAGCAAGATCTGTCAAGCATAACCATTTTTTCGAATGAGTTTGAATATTAGCTTCAGATAACTGAAACGCCGCATTTATGGTATATTGCTTGACAATGTAATTTTAAAACACAAGCAGTTTTAAAAGTGAGAATACAAATCTTCTATATCTTTATCTACCTGGAATTCTAAGTTGTGAAACAATAAAAAAGTATTAATTGTTATCATTTTGTCACTGGTTATCATTGCATTCATTTGTTCACAAGGGGGAAACGGGAAGTCTATGACATCCTAAACAACCAACATTAGGATAACAAAACTAAGGTTAAAGCCATTCAATACAGTAAAGATTTCTGTGTACTTTCTCAGCAGTGTTCCTTATGAAAACTTAATTGAGGCTTATATATTGAACGGGGTACCCTTTGATTGAAAATGAATTCCTGAAACCACATACAGTACAACTTTGTATGATAATACCTGTCACAGAACCGATAGGTGGAATAGGAGGATCCTTATGCGACAATACCTTTGTATTGGGTTTATGTCATGTATACAAAGTGATCAAATCAATTATTTCCTGTATACTTGGGAGCTTTTTCCATCATATACATAATCACAAATCACAGTTTACTTTGAGGTTACAAAGAGCACATATTAAAAAAGCAAATGCTCTATCTAATGTTTTGTCGCACACAGCATCCAGTCACGACTTGCACAATAAAGAGCAGACATCTGCAAAATTTGTCTGTTTCAGTCCCTGATTTTCTGCAGTGTCTAATCCAGAACCTTTTGCCATGTTTAGTGACATAATATACAGTAGTTCAGGTGAGTAGCTGCTGAAGAAGGCTCCATGGCCGAAACGTTGTGTTTTCTTTCTTCGCTTTTCAGCATGGAATAAACCTATTACTTGTTCCTTTACAATATACAGTATTTTGGAATCTTCTTTACATAAAAAATCAGTTGGTAATCATTCTACAGTAGTCTAGATTAAAATCCACAATATGTGTGAGTTTTGTCTTCAAAGTGGAATGCATTAATGCCGACAAGACATTCCACAATATACACTGAAAGCATTAAACAGAATATTGAAACAGCAAAAGCATAGAATTTTCTCACAAATATTTGGACATACTGTAGTTTGTACATTCATTGCAAGTTTTTAATGGTTTTATGGCAGTCTTTTTGTTAACAAAAATTAATCAAATAGCAAGAACATATTTCAAAATAGTTTCTTTCAGCTTCCCAAATGTAGGCCTTCTTTCTGGATGACTCCGAGGCCAAGTGCGTGTGACATGTATTTTTATCTGACTTGTAATGGGTTTCGATTTTTGTTAACTGCAGCATACAACAAAGCCACATCCCCTTTACGTGCGTTGTGTTCAGTCTCTTCTGACACTCTAATTTGGCTGTAAATCACACCTTCATCAGAGACAGGTGCCATTTTTCTCCTGTGTTTTGTAATAGTGTCTACTGATACCTCAGCATAAACCAGTTCATGGCCTCCATCACCTGCAAAAACAAAGCAAACACATCTAGTGTCATATTTATGAGCTATCGAAAAATAGATTGGCTAATTGATTTCCTAAGAAAATATAAACCATGTTAATAGTTATCTCATATCCAATATTTACAACCTAGCAATGAGAATGAGCTATACAGATTTTTCCATTATCACATATTTTCCACATTTTTTTTATGAATTAAAAGTTATTAAATCTACATGTACAACATTTACAATTAAGTTCTTCCTCTTCAGTTTTCGGAAAAATTAAAAATCAGCATTTGAGAGTTTTTACAAAGATCTCAGTAATTAAGATAGTACAGTTAAGATATTAAAAATACATTTCCTTACAATTTGTATATACTGTATATGATGGTAAAAATATTTCTTACTCTGTTTCCCTTCCTTTTTATTTTTCTGGTGCAGCAGGCAGAAAACCACCACAGACAGAACAAAGATTATAAAGGCTTCTCCAAATCCCAGAAAAGCTTAAGACATGAAGAAACAATAATGTACAGTAAGTACTAGAAGAAAATTGTTGAGGCACTATACAGTATATAAGATCTAAAAAATATAAATGTTACCAATCGTATATTATTGAGAACCTACTACAGTAAATGTTTTTGAAATTATTTTAAACCGCTAATGATGTGTTTATTTTTCAGCTGTTAAACCCTCCTTATTTTCTATATTTAACCTACAGTAGGTGCGAATTGCTATATTTTGGGACCTTTGGGAATCAATATTCCAAACAAACTGTCAAACCCATTGTTTGATGTCAGGTTGACTTAAAGTTGAACAAATAGGTCTCCTGAAAGGAGTATTGTACTCAGTACTAATTTGTCCCTTGTGATGAAGGAGTGGGTCAAAGTATTGATTAAGTTAGAATCTAAAACTGGATTAAACCTAGAAGTTTTTTTTGACAAATCTTTGTGGAATCACTTGAAAAACAAGTAAAAAAAAACCTAGGAGTGACCAAACTTATAGTGTTTTTTTTTATTTTAGGTATGCATTGCACAGTTTGGAGTTTTTACGTATGATCACTGTGACTCACATGCCTCATGACAGTGCTTTTTAAGTGCTTTGAGCACTTAATAGCTCATTATGGATCCTTTTGTGCACAAAACATTTAATATTTCAGTTACATTCAACAAAACCATTGCTTTGTCTCTCATGTTTAATTGCTTTAAGCCACACCAAGTTGAATCAAGGGAATGATTGGAATTTCCTTACTTTCTTAGGTATTGCACAATGTGAAGAAACAAGGGGAACATGCCATTAGATTTGTTCTTATCGCTAAAATGCTTGCGACTCTTAATTAAGTCCTTTTCTCTCAAGACATCCTTTTAATAATTTTTTGTTATACTGTATCAATTAAAGTGATAACATAGCACAAGAAGTAAACATACAGTATAGACATTATTTAGAACACTCCCTGGGTATGAAGAGAATCCTACACACACACGTAATGTATTATCACAAAAGCTGTGGATGAACATTTACTGAAGCCTATGTCTTGAATTAATGTTCAGTTTGGCCTTTTTGGTCACACATTATTAGATACTGTATTTTTAACATTTTGCCTTTTAAAAAAAAATCTCTTACCACAAAAAATATATGTTGAAGTTTCAATGGAATCTTGATTGAGAGTTTTGATTTGGCATATGATACTTAAAGTTTCTTCACCTCCTAAACTGATAAGCACTCCTCTACCTTTCAAGACATCAAGGTCTTCTTTAGTTGTGTTGATGAATGCTGGAATTTCTGTATCATTTTTTAGAGTGCAATTTAAAGATGTTACATAACCTGGTAGAAAGATAAGGTAAAATTAACAACTATAATAAAGATTAAGAAGATAATCTGGACAGTCATATCATAGGCAACAGAATTGTGTACGAAGCACGTAACGTCTTTAGGTTTTTATGGAAAATTGTTAAAACATAAATTGTTTTTTATTTTTTTGCTTCTTTTCTTTTATATTAATATTGTTCATGAATGTCTCATATACAGTACAGACCAACCCGTGACATTTCTTGCAGATATCGTTCATGCCATTACTGTCTTTCTACTGTTTATAAAACTAAAAAGGCTGTAAGTCAGACATACTGTATAAAGGACTGAAAAATCTTTAATCATACTTTATGAGGCACAATAGGTAGAAATAAAATGATTTAAATTTAAACTGTGACATAGAATGTGTACAATATAGTTTCAAAGAAAGTATTATGACATTGTCTTGAAAAACAACAGCTCTTTGAATTACATATAATAACAACAGTGGATGCACAAAACATCTATTACATTTATAGTTACATAGAACTCTTAAATTGCACAATCCAAAAGCACTGTTTTTTTCTGAAAAAAAGTCCTTTATTCTCATTTTCCCAATTGGCCCATAGTGTTAATTTATATGTAAAAAACCCACACAAATTGGTGAACAGCTGTGGTGATGAGATGTGAGGTTTTCATGAATGCCACCCAGTGCTCTGCACTACAGTTTAGTCACCTTCTGATTTTTCAGTCTGAAGCTTAAAATGCTATTGTGTACTGACATGTAAATCATTATTAAATTCTGCAAAGGCACAAGTATAGGTTTATTCCATGCTAAAAAGAGACGAGAGAAAACACAAAGTTCTGGCTGTGACGGTGTCTGTGTCACATACCTGAAGAAGGCTTCACAGCTGAAACGTTGTGTTTTCTCTCTTCTCTTTTCAGCATCGAATAAACCTATTACTTGTGCCTTTGCAGGCTACGCATGCTAAAGCAGCTACCCACCTAAATGATTAAATTCTTACCTGAGCATGCAGAAATCACATGGCTAGTGTAATTCTCACTTATTCCATTTCTAACAGTACAGACAAGATTTCCAGAGACCGATTGCTTCAGTATGACAGTGTGGTCTTCATCACTGAGGTACGCCACACTTTCATTCAAAGCCTTTCCATCTAAAGCCCAGGTATATGAAGGATGATCACCCTCCTCTGCCCAACAGGTAACTCTCACCTCCCCATGAGGAAGACAAGTGTGTTTTACCAGAGGCTGGGAGACAGGGGCTGAAGGAGAAAGAGCTCTCTTTATATAAATAGCAGATGTACTGCATCATATAAGAGCATAAGTTTACAACTGAGGAAAGGCAATACAGCTCATCTACTGTTTTTAAAGACATTAAAAATTAAACATTTTGTTTAAATTAAACTGATTTGATTTTGCATGTTTTGTTTCAGTCCCATATACTAAGAAACAAACCATTTAAAATGAATATGAAAACAAAATATTTTTATTTTAATGATTAGCTGTCACTGAGATCTGTTGCTACAGGCTTACTTAGAATTATGCATTTCAATTACTTATTAATTTCATTGCAAACAATTAATGCATACAAAAAGTTATTTGCAGTCTTTTGATAGTCTTACGTTTGTAAACAGGGTAAACCCTGGATGGGAGGCCAGTCCAACGCAGGGCACACACAGACACAGACAATCACACATTCACTTCTTGGGCCAATTTTCCCAGAAGCCAATTCACCTACCAATACACCACCCTCAAGGTATTCTATGCACATCTGAAATACAAACTTTGCATAGATTGAATTGAAAGATAATTGTGAGAGAATGAACACAGCTGTTGTCATGTCGCAAATGGAGAAATGTCTAATGCCTTGATGACTTCTGTAAAGACACTATTGTAATAAATCTTACCTAATATATTCAACATGATGTTAACTTTTAAAAGATTCTTTCCATCTTGGTTATACATTTCCAAGGAATAAACTCCAGAGTCTTCTTTTACTGTGCAGTTGAGTTTGAGTGTTCCATCAGGGAAAATCTCAGTTCTGTTTATATATAGTATTATGTTGTGAGCACTGCCATTTTTTAATCTCCCTACTAGGAAATCACCCTTTTTCCAAATAGCATCAGAAATGTTTTCAAAGGTTTGCTCAGGACTTAAAAGGACCACAGATCCAAGCAATCCATCTACACTTCCGGTTCTTTTAGAAACAACTGAATTTATTGGGAAAATAAAACAAACACATTACAGAAATTTACATTACAGAATAATACAGCTGTATTTTAATTTCACAACATTTATTTTCTGTTATGGAAATGTTGTATTGTATTCTGTTATGATATGATATGACATGATATGAAAAATAATGCATATAACATTGAACTTTTAAATTGATTGCTTAAGGCATTATCTTGTAAGTCAGTTTCTGTAATTAAAATGTAAACTTGGTTTAAATTTAAAAAAAACCTTATAAATTGCATATTTATAACATAACTGCAGTTCATAAAATAACCTATTTTTCATTTTAAACTAAAATATATGACTATGCAGGCTAATGATTATTTTCGTTTGATGGAAATATTATAACTTTTGTATTTATGTAAATATGATTAAAAAAAGAAATGTTGACCACAATTACAGTAACATCTGAAATAATGCAAGGAGCAGCTTACCTTTCTATAACAATTGATGCCATGTTTAAAAGAAAAAGAGAACTTACCGTATTCTGTGAAATAAATGGACAGGAACAATCCCAAAAACAATTTCCTGAAGGGATGCATTATTCATAGTGTTAATGTGGGCTAGATATTAAAGACATGGATTGACCTATGCCTCATTGTGTTTTTTGTGAACAGCTGCAAATATGTGAATACCCATACTGTATACAGTATATCTTAGGAAACGTCATGAAAGGATCATTTACAAAATGGAACAGTACTTCTTCTTTCTGGAAATAAGGAACAGAAAATGTTACTATATACTGTATATACTGTATAAATATGAGATATATAGTGTGTATTCTTCTAGTGAGAGTATTCTACCTGCTCTTCTTTATTTGGAAAACATATGCAACTGTTTGTTTCTGCCAAGAATCCTGATAAGAAAAACAAAACTATTTTAATTTAAAAAGAACAATGTAACATTTATATCCATATAAAACCTTTCTAATTGTTTAAATAGATAAATTCTGTAACCTAGATAACTAAGTATATAGTTAATACGTCAAAGTATTAACTTTCCTAACACTGAAGCCTAGTGCTTCTAATACACATATGCAGTACATTTATATTATTGCTCGGACTTAGTTATACCATGCTGATGACCCCTAATAAGGGTGAACCAGCTGTCTATGGCTGCTTTTAATTTATACAGTATGTGCAAAAATAATTAAAAAGTCCTAAGAGTTCCATCACTGGTATTGTTGTGGTAGATAATTAAATTAGTATTCATAATAATATGAACATAAGCATGTAGGTCTCTTCCATGAGAGAACTGACTGTGATGGTGCTGACAGAGAGCTGGCACGTATCAAATCATGTACCTGTATAAGCACAGTTCCCTACCAAGTGAGCCTTCCAGGAACCCATAAAATACTGGTGTCCTTAGAATCCTTTATATGTATGAGGATATGTTGGAATATTCCCTGTTTTTCATATTGTCCTTTACAATTTCATAACAGACTGTTATATACAACTCAAGGTAAGAAGAGCTCATTAAAGTTCAAATAAATTATGATATCAAACAACATCATAAGAGATTGAATTTGTGTTTGTTTTTCATTGCACCTTTCTATATTGAAACTTACTTTTCAGGTAACGGAAATTGTGGAATTCACAGCAGCCAGGCCTTATAAAAATGTGAATACTCAGCAGGCTTTTTTAATAACCACATTCTTCAATTCCTGTTTTGGTTTCTTACTTTGATGAACATTTACACACTTCCTAAGTTTTCTTTCAACTAAACCCAAACTAGAACTAATGTACTGTATACAGAAAGTGTGAGTAGCATGGGTTTAAGAATTGCCACTTTATCTGTTTTACATGTTTCTGTTTGGACATACCAAGTCATAAAAAAATACTTGGTTCCATTGCTGAAGAAAGAAAAATAAGATGCTTTGGATACTAACAGAAAATTAGTTGGCAATATCCTAGTGAAATGTCCTAGTTTGTACATGCAAAGGAATGCTGAGCTAACAAAAAGAAACAGAATTAAAGTGGGTAGGAACAGTTCAAGGAACCTACAAGTACTGTCTTCACAGGTTTAAGGAGGCAGTTGAAGATGTTAAGACATGGGGCAGTTATGATTTGACTGGTAGTTCTGCCCTCTCTTTATCCTGTGCAACACAGGATAAGGAGAGGACAGGAGAAGCTGAAGAGCTATGGAGAAACAAAGGCTGAGAAAAAATGAGGAAATGTGAGGTTGGAGGTTCTGTAGAAAGGACCAAAGAAAGAAACTGAAGGAAGTGGCATATCAAGACAAGAACATTGGAGAGGGAAATGATCTGGCGATGAGAATTAATGAAAAGTACAGTAGGACATAAAGGACTTACATAAAAGAAAGCAGGACAGAGAGAGAGTGATATACTGTAATGTTCTAAGTGAGTTGAAAAAGGTTCTGAGGGCAGCTATGTTTTTTTAAGGGGCATCCGACCTTCAAAGGGTGTCAGTCATTAAAAATAAATATTGAATGTAAAAGATGTTACAGGCTTCAGAAGATTCTTTGCAAAAGAAACAAAACAAAATTCTTTACCACAAAAACATGAAAGAAGGCTCATACAGTACATGTGACATACTACACTTCCTCAGGTTTGTCTGCTTAAAACATACAGTATAGAGTCTCCATCATTTGTTGCCTTTTCTGTTAGCCTAACAGGGGACCGTCCACCTGAAACACTTCCTCGTATTAATGTCCTCCATTTTGTTTGTATCATGACCTTGGATTAGGATACCCAAATGGGCAAGTTAATAAAATGAAGAAAAGGAGGATTCAAGAGTCATCAATACTACTATTGAGTTTAAATGTAGGTGGTGATGTACCTGCAATAAATAAATACATAAATAAATAAACAAATAAACAAACAAACAAATGTAGTAGAGTGAAAAATAATTTGTGTAGGATTAAAGGTGTCTGAGGCTGATTGGCATTAATTTGTGCCTGGTTCTCTAAGCTGCCTTCCCTAATCAAGAACAGCACAGAACAGACTGACTTGACTGTGCCTGTTGTGGGAGGGAGCTCTGGAACATGGTGTGGAAACATAATGCACCTTTACACCAAGAGATCATTGGGACACTACCACCTCCTTTGGATTAACTTGTGTTTATGAGGGTTTTAAAAAGCTCCAGTCAGAAAAGACAGCACTTGGGAGAAGGAAGAATTGAGAGACAGATTGGTAGTTGCACCCAGGAGACGACTCGATTCAGAGACCAGGGACCCCAGCATTGTCCTCCTCCCACCTCTACCCAAAACTGGACTTAGAGACAAGAAGCTAGACGAGGGAACATCAGGGAAAACTTTGGTCAGGAGGCCCGGGACTGAAGAGGTTGCCTGGAACTTCACTGTTTCTTCCTTGTGGCCTCAGGAGGTACAATAGGAGCTGCTTCTGGAGAACGATAATACTGTTCATACAGTTCTGGTAACTAGGGTTCTTGGATTGCTCTAGGAGTAAGACATGTCCTGTGCTCTGTGTGTTAAGTTAGCAGTCAGAAGAATTACAGTTACGGGGATACCTTTCTGTGAAGGAAAGATTGATAACTGTCAATAAAAGGGATATTGTAAATGATAACTCTAGTCTTGTCAGTGGATGTACTGGAGGTTCTGGGAGATAAATGAACCTGTGGCAGTGGAAAGCACCCATTATGATTGCTAGGTGGTGCACAATGTGTGGGATACCCAAACCATGCCATCAAAACTAACAACTAAATCATACAAAAATATTCAGAAATGAAGTAGATGGAAAAAAGAGACAGGGAGGGAGAAAATTATCATTAAAGGACTGAGACTCTGGATGTTTATTAAGGGTTGAAGCTGGACTGTGAAATAAGAGATGCACAGCAGCCCAAAATAAATAAAGAATTAACAATGACAGCTTGGCAGCCATGATCTGTATAAACGTGTGAAAATTTGAAAACCATGAGAAATGGCAGACAAATTTATTGATAACAACAATGCAAGCAACTGGCAAATACTGCTTTAATTGTGCAACACCACGGAATATTACTGTATATCTTGGCAGTGATCTTTTCAGCAGAACCTACAAACATTCATTAAAAGAAAAACAGAACAGAAGAAAAACAATAATTTGTTTTAATTTAAACCACCATCATTCTGCAGTGATACAATAGTTTACAATAATATCAAAGTCACCTACAAAAAATATACATAAGGCAGTCATTCAAATTCACAAGAAAGTACAAATACAACTGATGCAAATCCAGATCCCAGGTCCTTTTTCCCTTTTGATGTGTTCTATGACATTGTATAACTAGTAAACAGTGGTTTGCTACACATGGAGTAAAACTTGAAATCCAAGGAGTAAAACAAATTGTCTTTGCAGTACTAATAGTTATTTAATTGAATATATGTTATTAAATATAAAAATCAGATTATTGTAAAATTTACTCTACTCTTTGTTTTGTTTTTTTTTACCACGGATAACAAAATACATAGAAAATGGCACCATCATAGAGTTCTTATGTGTCTACTAGGGCACTTATAAATGTTACATTCTTATATGCTCTAACACAATGGCTTGTTTGGCTGATAATATTTAACAAACTATAACAAGCGTTTTGTTTTCTTTCCTATCTTTTTTGTTGTGCTTTTTTGTGTCAAAAGAAAACAATTTTTTTATAAATTTATCAATTTGAAGCTGATGCCCATTGATGATTATTGTTCTGGTTTTAAATATTAATTTTGTTCAAAATTCATGAAGGAGAAATTATTGGAATGAGTACTTTTACTAGGACAGAAGAACACAGAAGCTTTTAATCAAAAATATTTGAGATAACATTTTATTTTGCATGTTCTAGAAACAAAAATTCATCACTCCTATTAATGTAGTTTTACTCAGGGTGTGCAAAGCCACACAAACTCTCCTTATAGTCTCGTTTTCTTCGATATCCATCATATAATAGCACTTCTTATATTACAGTTTAACAAGAGGCAGGCATAAATATTTTTTTAAAAATTACAAAATAGACACAATCCATCAAAATAACCCTTGTAAACAAACAAATAGACAAAACATGCCTTCTCGTGTTTAATATATTAAGGGTATAATGGACCTGTTTCCAGACATCTAGAAATTAAAATGTGTGTATTAGATTCCGAAGCTAAAACGGAAATGCAGAAATGGAAACCGAAGAGCTCCCAATTTTCAAGAGGGGGCGCACGTTGCACACAACAACAGGTCTAGGATTGGGAGAAGGAAAATACAGCAAACAGGTATGGAGGCGTGTTTGTCTTACAAACTGAACGATACAAAAAGCTTCATAACTGTTTATTTGTTGAAAATTAATTATCTTTTTGAGGCGTTTACAATCTATACCGCGTGGAACCAAAAATATTAATTTCCGTTTTAATTCGGTCAGAATCACTGTTTCTTGTTGTGTGCTACTATCTAGTAAAAAAACAGCACACTTCTTTGTTCATGCATTTTTACCAAAGTATGAAGTTTCGATAACTGGCTTTCCCTCTATATTCAGTACTTTCGTACCTTTTTTATTGTTGAGAAATGAATCTTTGAAAATGACGGTATGTTCAAATAAAATTTTCAAAGTATGAGGACAAGGTCTTTCTACAAGAAATATAAAATGCTAGATTATATCACTTTGGCTCATCTTCCTTTTATAATGTTTGGTTATTGCATAAACAGGGCGGTTACTTATATAAATATATAAAAAGTTTGAATTTCCTCTGACTGGAAATCATATCAATTGCTTTACAGCCCAGATTTTCTGCAAGCCTTTACATACTGAACCTGGGAGATAAATTACTGTATCTTATGAATAATAACTGCATTTTGCATTGAATCAAACTTTCCCTTCTTCACATTTGATAAGCATGTTGTGGTACAGTTTCATCAATGTTTCTCAGTGCATCTGATAATGTTAAGGAGTGCAAGATCTGTGTTTTATGGATATCAGTTGAAAACTGAATCCTATGTAGCTGTACCTTACATATAGTTTAATATGTGACTACACATTAAGCAGCAAACATAAAATCTGGAAAACAAAATAATCTGACAATATCAACAGTTCCTAAAGTTCAGTTTCCATTCATGGATTTCCTACCTTTTCAAGGACCTATTAGCAGCAGTGTTTTTATTATTATAGAAAAACAATATTGACAAATACAACAAATTTAAAGTCAAGCAAGTCATGCTGCAAAAAATACAGTTGTTCTTATAATAACAGGTCCACTGTCCCCTAAAGAAGGCTTATAAATAGCTAGCTCTAAAAATCTTTAAAGGTATGCTTATAGGAAAAATCATTTGGCAGTTGATTACATTTTCTCCAAACATTGTATATCAATATGTACTGTGTAACAATTTTGGCTGACTTTAAATTTAAAACAAATTTAAAAAAAAGAAACTACACAAACACTCACATTAATACTAAAACTGCATGCTTTAATGGAAACACTAGAGCTTTGCATTTGAGACTAATCATATTATTCGAACTGTTGCTCTTTATGAAGGGACCAAGAGCATTTAAGGGCTCTGGTCTGTTGACCCTGGAGTTCTAGTCCCTTCTTCCTTGTTAAAATCCTAAAAATCTCCAAATATATGGAAGATACTTGCACAAGAAAGCAGAACTGCAGGAAGCAGTTCTGCTGGAAGTTCTGATATTAAAGCTGTGTTATCCATTGTCACATTAAAACTGTTTAGAAACAAATATACAGTCTGTATACTAATTCATAAAATATCCACATCTGCTAAACACGATCCAACATTAGATCAAATAGATTTGTTTCTTATTCTTCAGAACCTAAGCTCCAGTATAAATGGGAAAATGTACAACACATTCTAAAAAGGAAAACTGTTTCTTATAGCTTATTTACTCAGAATTAATCTTGTGAATATGGAGAATATTTTAAAGAAGCTTTCCACTATTAAAGCAGGATAAGCAGCATAATGGTTTCTTTTTTTTTTTCAAAGACATCCTTTAAGGATGTGCTGTATAAGACTTACACTGACAAATTGCCTTATTCAGCCAACATGTTAAGTGTGTAATGGAAGAGATGTCCACATCTGACCATGAAATGACATAACAGCTGGATAACATTGTAAGCATTGTTAACTGTGGCATTTTTATACAGTAGGTGTGTGATGTCATAGTCATCCTATACCTAAGCAAACATCACTAAGTATTAGAAAATCTTTTTACCACCTGGAATAATAGAGAAGTATGAGTGTGTTTTGAGGTTAGATAATAACCTGAATACCTATATCTCCCTGATAAATCCATACATAATGAAGACATTGTGATCAAATGATTTGACATATGTACAATCTTAGAATTTCTCAAAAGCTTTCCAAATGTGCCCAAATTCTCATAAAGCTAAAGTGTAGATACTACAATGCTTTTTTATATGCTGAGATGTTTTATTTCATTACTATATTATTTTCATAATGAAATATATAAATATGTAGATTTTGTAACTACTCTCTTCTTTAAATAATTTTGAATGCTTGTTGTAACTATTCATTTTGTGGTTCTAATTAGAAAACTACAACATAATATCAACAGCAGTAATAATAAACAAGGGAATTTTAAATATCTGTGCCACTTGATTATCCAAGCTGATCCTAGATAAATAGTTCCATATAAAAACACTAAGCTGTTTATTGCAAAAGAAGTCCATTGTGTTATTACTGACTTTTAAAAATTGCTTATCACTTTTTTTACCTCTTGCAATATACTACTCACATATTCACAATCACTACTATATATAACAACTACCTGCATGAGTATAGGGATCATCGCACACAATATCTAATCAATACGTTTCATAGCAGTGTGCTATATTTGCAGGAAAATATTTATTAGCTGTCATCTTCAATGGAAGAACAATACCAAAGTGCGTAAAATACAATAAATGTCAAACTAATCTACTTTGACCATACCTGATTAATTAATTATTCTGTGCAATGCTGTAAAAAGTTATTCCTTCTTACTACGAAAGACTTGGACTTTAAACTTTAATTTTTAGTATTGTCAGTTTCTTTTTTCTCAGATATACTGTACGTCTGCAAAGCAGGTTGTGGTATACACCCTGCAAAAGATTACTGGAGCGTATTTCATGGTTTAGTGTATTTAGGAAAAATCAATTACAAACTATTTATTTTCTATTTGCAAATTACCTTGCAATTATCTTCAATTATTAAGCATTGAAAAAAACGATTTATTGTGTTATATTGTCATATTATCTGGTTAAATAATTTTCTTTCAGGTTCACGGATATATATACAGTATATATCGATATAACATTTCCTAATAAGTGTGTAACTTTAATAAAATGCTTTTGGACAAGAAAAGTAAATGCAGTTAAGAAATTAACAAGAAAACTGCATTTTAGGCCTAGAATAGAGATATGATAATACACCTGTATTTGCAGTTTGATCTTGCTGGAAAGAAATCAGGAAAGTATGACAAAGTTCAAATTATTTCAACAATGTCAGAAGTCAGTTATTCCTGATTGTGATAAAGGTGATATAATTTTTGATGCTATAAGTACAGTCATTATTCATTTTGTATGAAAGGCATGTCAGTCAGACCTGCTTTGGCAAACTGAAACGAATAAAAGCAGCAAAACATAACAAAACCCAAATCGTTTCAATATAATAAACTATTATATCTGAACTGGCCAAGCATTTATAATTTTGCTTACACTAATATATGATGCCATATTTACAGTTATTATTCCTTTTACATGAACAACCTTTAGGCCATCTTATTTTGGCAAACAAAATCAGTGACATTCATATTCCAAATAATATTACTGCTATGAGCTAATTTGCAAGCCAAACAATGACACCAAGGGTATGTAAAATGTAATTTTGAACATTCCTTTTACTCAGTATTCCATATCTACTCCCTGCTTCTAGTTCCTATACAGCATGTGTAAAATTTATTTTCTTAAAAAACAAGCAGATAACTGTCTCTATGACTCTACAAATCAGTGAAAAATGTTTAGTTTTTTTCAGACAATGAACTATTATAAAAGGCTAAAAATTTAAAGATTCTTTCCTGGTTTTACCATTCTTAGAGGAGAAGTCACTAAAGCACGGAACAGTCTCTCATTTTGGTTGTTCAAAAAAAGGGATAGATTCAAAACAAAAGGCCCTAACTTGCAAATCCACTCACTGAGTGCTTTATAAGTTTTTCATGTACACAAAGATTCAATCCTTAAGTATGATTATCATATTAAATTGACTGTGGTGAAGCTATTTAAAAAGGTTTGTACTTCTGCATAGGGTCTTTATGAAACACAAAAGTTGTGGGGTGACCGTTTCTTTAACAGTAGATGTGTTTAGAATGAAAGAAATGCAAAAGCACACAGCAAACTTTAACTTACCCTACTTTTCCAACTCGGGGCAAATTTCAAGTCTTACACTCTCTGACAAGAGACACTTACAGAATGGTCCAACTCATCACTGTAAGCACAGTCATTGTTGTTGCCTGCTTATCTCAAACAGAGAACAAAACATTTTGTAATCCACCCTACTTTTTAACTAAAGTTCAGGCTTGCCATTCAATCCAGTATGAGGGATACGTTTCATGTTTTTAGAAAAATGGTAGCTGAATCCATTTGATGTTATCCTAGCTCTGCTCTCAGAAATATGGAAGAGACCTCACTTTGCTGATGAGCAGGAATTACAGTAAGTTCAAATATGATCAAGGAGCAGGTGGGTTACAATAACTGTAAGTTAAAACTAGTGTTTAAAGTTTACATAAGCCAAATGTGATGTTAGTTATTAATTTTTGAAAATGGTAAGCCAACATAAAGTTCTCAATACTAATAATGTTATATAAATGTGTTGTTTGTGAAAGCGTTGATTGGGCTTCTACAAAGAAATGATAAACCAAAGCCTAAAAAAAAGATATGTATATATACAGCATGATATATATACACATATAAATGATGTGTTTTTATAATACCATTCATGTTGAATCAGTGGAAGTGTAAACAGGTTTCAAGTAAGATGTGAAATGCGAAGGGTTTCCTTTCCCTCGTGATCCGACATCCGACATTATCCCCATGGAAAGCTGATCGCAGGCTTCAAGCAGGAACGTTTTAAAGCTCGCTTTTCCAATCAGCTTCAGCTGGAATAATATAAAAGAAAGTAGTATTAAAAATGAGCTGCGGGCATGCTGCTTAAACCTAGAGTAGGTAGGTGTTCTGGAATAGTGGGAAGGCTTCTCAGGCAAAAAGAGCTGGTCACAAATGTAGAAGATTTTAAAATTGAAATAAAATAATATTAAAGACTTAGGAAACATTTTCTTTGACAGAGCAAATGTTTCATGTATTTGTCTTACTAGGCACAAAATAACATGCCTGCTTGAACTATCAAGGAAATATCAACATTAGCAGGCTAATTCTGTTCAAATCTTTTGAAATAGGGATTAGCACATTCATATCTTCTGGCCTCCTGGATTTTTCATGTGCTAAAGATGTGCTGATGGATTCGTTTAAAGTATGAGAGCATCGACATCATGTCATTCAACGACTTCCTTTAAAAACTCGGTGGACACTATATATGGGGTGTGAAAAAGAGGAGGTTTTTTTTTTTCCAGTTTGGCTACTTACTTAGCTATGGCAGAAGGCGCACCGGAGCGGTGAAAGTGCACAATCTGCCACTTGCCGTCTCGGCGATGCCAGATGCGGGTCTCTTCAGACTGGGCGGTGCGGGGCATGCCGTTGTTGTCTATGTACTGGGTGATGCGGATATAGGCAATGCAGGCAGCCTCCTCGCCAATGAGGTGGATGTGAGGATTTAGGATTGTGGTGTGAACGGGCTTACTGTTTTTAGACCACACTGAAAAACAGAAAAAAAACAGTATTGGCTTGACACTAATCCAAAAAAGGCTGAAACATAATGCATTTCAGAAAGAAACTTGATTTAAGGCTCTTGCTTATGTCAAAGCCCCACGAAAGTAGGGCAATTAAGAAGAACACAGTGTCTTTGTCTTTTTAAAATACCCCAAATTACTCTCCATGAGACACACTGACAGGGAGAGAAGCTTGCGGTCAGAGCATAGGGTCAGCCATTTATATGGCGCCCTTGGAGCAGTTGGGGTTAAGGCCCTTGCTCAGTGGGCCAACGGAGTAGGATTCCTCTGCCGGCCACAGGATACGAACCGGCACCTTGTCCGTGGACTTGAACCCAAACCTTCACTGATTGCAGTTTACTCTGGGGATGTGAACCCAGACCAGCTTGCTAATCAATGAGCAACAGTGCCACTGTTTAGAAAACAGTCTTAGAGCTTCAGCAATTTAAAGTGGAAATGTGATAAAACAAAGGAGAAACTCTTTCCCAATGTTCTGACGCAATATCATCTTGTAAGCATTAAAATCCTAATTTATTGGAAAATGCTGTTTACCCTTTTCGTATTTCATGGATAAGAGAAAATGAAATTCTTTGAGTACTGGATTTCAGTTAATGCTTCTGTTCACCACTAGGTGACACTCTAAGCTCTAATTCTGAAACTGAAGCAGCTTGTGATTTACATTACCACATTTTCAATATTTACAAACTGTGCGGTATGTTCATGTCAATCAGTGCTAATTTTCTCTTGGCATAATTGTAATGCTTTTTTAGGTTTATACACGTCAAAATTGTGTCCAAATAAAGGCAACGTGCCAGTGCTAGCAATAGTATATAGACAAAGAGAGCATTTACTAAAAGCTTTCAGTTGTTGAACAGTGTAAAAATGTTTGGAGGTAGGGATCTTATTTTTTTTTCTTGTTTACACACTTTACGAGCTAATTGTCTGTTTTTAATCTTATGATACTAGACAGAGTTTTGACTGAGCAATGTTGTTAAATACTGTTTTGTATCATGGTATCATAGTTTTGCTGTAATGTATTATTACCATATTTGTTATATTGCTGTGAGCCATCTTTCTGAAGTCTTCCTCACAAAAAGTCTAATTTGATGCCATGACTTCATTGGTTAAGGAAGATATTAGAAAAGCACCTGCACATTACTGTAGGGGAAAACAAATATCACTATGTATCTACCCAGTCAAACTAACTAAGCCACCTACTACAACGAGGAATGTTTAACTGAGTAGCATTTTTCTGTTAAATGATTCCCACAGGGTAAGACAGATAAAAAATGCTACAGTCATATACGGTATCAAACGTATTGTTCCTCTTGACAAGAGAACTACATTCATAGAATCTCATATCTTTGATGCTACATCCTATCTTCAATCTGTATCTCCAATAATTAGGATTGTGTGTGAGACTTAAATGCAGCGCTTACATGGAGTGTAATTGGTTTGATTTTATCTATTTTTTAAGTGAATAGAATAAAGCCATGCATTAATGGATGACAGATTGTTTCACGCTTCCTGTAATTGTGCTTAACAACCCATTAGTGCCATTTCCTTTTTGTGCAGAACACAATCTAATATCAGTCGATGGAACTCCCAGTGAGGAAATACAGTGCTCTTCTTGAAAGAAGCTGAAATTTGTTTGAGAAAATCAGATAGAGTTATTTGTTGTCACAGATAGCTGTAATTGCTACTTTTGTGAATGAGAATTGCAGTCACCATTGATCATTATCTGTATGCTTTTCATGACACCGCTGTCCCTAAAAAAGCTTCTCATCTGAAATGTGACTAACAAGAAACCTTGTAAATGCCATATTCATAAATTGTTGAAGTTACAAATATCTCACAGTGTATTTATTTTACAAAATAGCAACCACTGTTGTTTTCTAGCAGCTTAGAAACATTTTCCAGTTATAACACGAAAACTGAAAATGTGCTCGCTCCATTAGAGAGTAGTTTTTATATCTGAGATTTTTTTGAATACAGACAGGATTTACTAGAGACCCTTGTCTCATATCTTGCTGAACAAGTTTGATCATTTCCATTTACCATTCCATTTTATGAACCAGTAAAACTGATTTGCTTACAGTTCTCAAAGTAAAATCGATGGAAGTCCAGTCCCTCCACCAAGTTCCCAAGGGCTTCTGGTTCGAAGGCTGTAACACTAGGATCACACATCTTCCTGAAGAGGAAAGAGATACAGATTTCTTTTTTTAACGTATTCAAGGAGCAGAAAACTAAAAAGTTACTGTAGATATGCCGATTGTCCAGATAATGACAATGGTGGAAATTGGGATTGAAACCTCACTAGATACCAGTTAGCACAGTATATTTGCTTGGCTTAAACAGTTGAGATACAGGGTATGGATAGAGATTCTTTCCACATTCCAGTGATTAGGAGGCCTGAGAGGAGAAGAGCTGGTGTGTTATAGCTCCTGAGGAATGATAGACTGCAATGAAGCAGTGTGAAGTCCCACATCATCAGAACAACAGGTGTGTAAAGGTCATTCAAAACTTTGTTTATTTGGTTGTGAAGCAGCAGAGCATAAACTATGAACAGCAGACATGTTTCAATTTCCAATGCCTAGAACAGCTGAATTCTACATAATGCAAGACCCTGAAAGCTCTTACAACCGCTTATACTAGAGGTGCATGTAAAGAATGTGTTGCAGATTTACTGTCTGTTGAAACATTTCAATTGTTGATGTCCTTTCCATTCTTAATGTTTGGTTAATGCCACCAAATGAAAAATGCTTGCCAAAGATGGACCACAAATCCTTCTCATCATCTCCAAACACACACAATAGTAATCCTAATTTGACCATATATAAAAACATATATATAATATTTAACTGGTAATTATATTCACGGCCTAGAGAAGAGGTCTCCAACCCAAATCCTGGAGAGCCCCAGTCCAGCAGATTTAATAGGTAGACTTTAATTCAAAAGGCCTGGAGCAATTTAACTCTGATCAATTAATGTGTGGGTATGCTAAATTTTGTCATTTGAAGATTACTTGATACAATATCCAGTATATCCTTAAACTCTCAAGGACCAGTGTTACCTTCTTTAAGACATTGCTTGCTTAATTGGTCTATTGACCAGCTGACAGTGGGTGAACTATAAGAGAAACAGGATTATTGTACTCCAGGACCATGGCTGGAGACACCTGGTCTGGTGTCTAAATGATACAAAATTTACAATGTATGTCATAAAGCATACAGTATCTGCACTTATAAAATGCAAAGAATAAAAATGGATGCCACTGGAGACATATTACTATCTTTCTACTACTATCTGTCTCCAGATGTTATTATTCATTGAAAAGTAACAGATTATTTCATATTACGTAGAATAGTGTTTCATGAGTTAAACAATGTCCCTGAAACTGAAAACTGAAAACCAGAACTGAAGTGTAGCATTAGTACTTGAATTAAAATCCGATCACATTAAGCTGCATAACTTTTTTATGCCGGTTTATTGCTTAATATGCCATAGTGTGCAAGCTGCCCATGTATGTACTATTTCAAAATGTTGGAAGTTTTTGAAGCCAGTCCACGACAACTCCCAGAAACCATTCTGCTAAAACAAGCAATTCTGCTTTTTTTCCTACTGTTACTGGCTTCTGGGAGTACTGTATATATTATCAATGTAAATGTAATGCAAGGAACTTCCTTCACTGAGTATCTAATATTATACGGAAAATATAGAATGAGGGCAAGTCACAATTCCCCGCGGTCACTGACTCTAGGGGTATACTGTAGATAGTGCCCTGTGAAGCCTAATCTTCAGAGTCTGTCATGCTAGCGTCCATTGACCACCCCAAAACTCTATTGCTGATGCAGCAATCTTTTGGTTTAACAGGGGGGTTCTGACTTTTTGGTTCATAAGTCCAGTAATCAAAGCATCAAAACAAGCCTTTACAATATCACATTAGGATTTGTCTGAATCATATGAACTAGTTTTTAGTCTTGAGACAAAGCAATTTAGAGCTAATTGCCTGTCCAAAGACTAAAAATGATATGATACAGTATACACTATACATTAGATGGCCATTTGTCTCATAGCACCACATTCTGGACTTTGTGATTTGAATCCAGAGTTAAAATGCAAAGACCTGGAATTGGTCAACTAAAGCAACATGATGCAGTACATCTGGACCTTCTAACATTATTGAGCATTTTTCTCAGGAGAATGATATGAAAATCAATGTTATGACTCAGTGTAAATCAGTGTGCTGAAAGAATATATAATTTGACAGGTGCTCAGGAACTCTGCCTTTCTCAACAACTAGCTTTGTATTGATTTCAGAGACAATAAAGAAAATGTAGTGGGTCAATGTTTTTACTGTTCTGTAAACACACGCAAGTAAAGACATACTACTGTACATACAGTAAAGCCAATGCCAATTGACAATAAAGCCAATGACAGAATGCATCCACCCAGGACATTCACAAACCATTTAAACCATTTAGGATGAACAGAGAAACTCAAAGCAAGAATGGGACTAGAACTTGCTTGAATTTATCATAAGAACTGACAGCTGACTTACGTGTAGCTCTCAAAGTCTCCATTGCTGATTGCTTCAATCAATTGCTCTGTCACCTTAATTATCTCTTGCTTCCTCACTGTCAAAAACAAAAGCAACAGTGTATACTTCATTGATAAAAGAAGTCAGCATTTTCTCTTGGCATCCCTGTTGTGAACTGAATTGTTTTCTCGGCAGTTGGGCAATGCAATATCACAGATAAAATTAATTCAATTTGAAAACTTTGACCTATAAGATTGGCTTCCGTTATACTCCAAAAATCGTAGGAATTCTTAACAGTGGATGTTGCATTTGTAGTTACTTCTTAAAGAAGGTACTCTATACCAAAATTCATTAGCTGCATAAAGACAAAATGTTTTCGGCAAGCACGCATTTTCCTTCTTCTTTGCATTGATACGACAACGCTCTAAAAATCTAAAACACATTTTTAAATTAAGCAGGTGGGAATGGACTCTGTTTCTGAAAAGGTGGGAATTCATTAAAGATAATTATACAGTCCCTGGTATAAAATACATTAGAGGGGTGATTTTTTTGTATTCTGCCTCCGTTCAGTGTGTGGGCAGCTGTCTGCTGCCCACATCAATCACAGTCTTTTTTTTTTAATGATTGAGTTAAATAATAGTTCTCTAGCCACAACAGCATTGCGAAAGAGGACATTTATTTTCCTTTTGATGTGGTGGCTGTGTAGGTTACAGCTCAGTTAGGTCATGCATTGGGAGAATTAAGGAAAAAAAGAAAAGAAACACTAAATTGCCATGTGCTCTAGCTCATAGCATATTGTGCTAAGTCTTTAACAAAGCCATAATCTGTGTCCTAAAACATGATAAGTCCCTTGGTAGTGGATTTTACATCCACATTTTCATGAGGATCTTCATATGCTTTCTACTCCTGCTCCAGCTTGCAGTGGGATCATTTATAATTCACTGAAACCCAGTTTTATTAGATGAGAGACCAAATGCTGGAAGCGAGAGAGCACATATGGTGGGAGGAATGGCCTTTTAAGAGCTTTTAAGGTTCACAGCCTTATAGTACATTTACTAAGCTAATTCTTCCTCTCCATTTAACGAAAGTCTCAACAGCCACATGGATTGGAATCCAGCTTTTTTCAGAAGGGTTGACTTTGCTACTGTGGCAATCGCAGCCAGAAATGGATAGGAAAAAAAGGAGAGGGAAACGATGCAGCAAAGCTAAGGTCTCAGTGGTCAACACCTTTCTACATTAAAATGTTACAGTGAAAAGGCTGAATCTTTTAAATCGATAAAGTTACTTTAACCAAGTGCACCTGTCACAAATAGCAGCTAGTATTCTCTTTATCATAGAAGAGTCTACTAATCAAATCATTCGCTGATTCTAGACCCACTTCTGTTCCAACATTTTCTGATGTTAGCTATACTGTATCTTGATCTCTGTATCTGAATCAAAAGGTTATCATTTGACAACAGCAGGGTTTTCGTTTCTGAGCATAAGAAATGTCCCAGCCTTTTGATCTTTGACTTCTTTTTAACATTCCTAAGTTTTTAGAATAATGTGTGCTACTGTGCAAACCATTGGTATGCAGGACATTCAGTGCACAACTACCAAACAGGAAAAGATAACCCTGCCCTTAAGGAACTGCCCCTTTGTATAGCTCAATTACTGTATGTTAGCTAAGGGACAGTTCCTAAGATAAGATTCATACTGTACTTTAAGTTCTGAAATTGCAGACTGACTGTTCTGAATTTCTGACTACACAACTTCATGTAAAATGTGAAACATATATACTGTAGATCACACCACTGATTTTTGTCCCTGAAGACAATTAAGTATAGTCTTTCTACTCTTAATTAAATGATTAGCACAAAAGCTCTCTCTAAAGACCGGCATTATTGACTGTCATAAGCAAGCAGCCAAAAGCCTAATTCTCATCAGTTACTCAGTCACTTACAACTACAGCAGTTGTGTGGTGACAGCTTCTCAGTTGAATTAAGTATGGACTTCACCCAAAGTAGTTGATTTATCACTGATTTGATTTATTTCTAAAGTTATTGTGCTTGTTTTATAAATTAAGTGCCCACAATGTTTACTGCTCTTAGTAAGACATCCAGAAATGAGGAAAGTGATGATGGTGATGAAGGTGAAAATGATAATCCTCTATGATGATCTAATTATTACTCTGACGATGTATCTAATACATGGCACAGACATTAATTTTTCTGAACTTAAGAACTGTCAAACAGTTTTATATTTGATTGACATTTGTAACTCATTCCAAATATATCAGTTATGTATTAGTGTTTTAGTTTAGACTAAGCTGATATGGAATATAATTGCACTTGACAAATAAATGCAGGTTTCCATCATCGCATAAATTCTTACATTGCATATATTCCAACATGCACATATTTCATTCCCATAGCTGGCAGGAGGCTCAGCTGCTAAAACAGGTAGCAGAACAATAAACTAGAAATATACTGTAAGATGAGAAACTCTGAGTTTGAAGAAGATGCCTATAAAAATGTATGTTGACACAAAAGTTTCATCATCGTAACAAAGTGGAGAATTATTTGAAAAGTAAAAAGAATGTAATAAAATCTCATTGTAAGTATACAGTATAAAGTAAATCAAAGAATGCGCTGAAAATGCGCCGTGCACTAGTAATAATGAATTTAGAATACGGTATGAAATTTTAGTTTCCACTTTACTAAAAAGATATTACTGCCGTGAAATCAGTTTGTAGAAGAACAAGCTGATATGCCCCCTGTTATAAAGGAACATTCTACTCTGACAGTCTAAAACCGTAATCTTTTTGTCCTTTTTAGTGGGCCTTAGTATTCCACAGAATCAAATACATTGACTAAGCCAAGCTAACCTTTAGAGTTCTTCAAAAACAATGCTAAAACACAAAGCAGCACACACAGATGGAGACTAGGGGGAACTGCATTTAAACTGAAAACAGGAGGCACTTCTTTATCCAAAGGGCTGTAGAATTCTGGAGCACGTTACCTAGTGGTGACACCCTGACATTTTTCAGGCCACAGCTGGATGAGATCCTCAATGGCCTCCTTTCATTTGTGCCTTTTTGCACGTTCTGAATAAAATTTAGCATGTTTTGAATAAAATCATTTTAGGGATGTGAACAGCCTCTTGGGGATTTGGTTATGCAGTAAAGTGAAATGCAGAGGAAGGGTTCAGCTGTGCTTTTCTTTAGCACTGATCGTTTGCCACTACAGCATCTGGATTTCAACTAGAAGGTATGCTTTAATTTAAATGAGCTCTAGACCGGAGGCTATTTTCTTGTTTTATTCTGTTATTTCAGGTGAAACAAATAGGTTTCGATTTATGAGCAACATCTGCAAAAGAAAAGTGTGTTTTCATGAGCAGGGTTATTGGGCCCTATCCACTTTCCTTCTATCCCCCTTGCTAAGTCATCAGCAAGAGACGTTAGACTCACAGACATCAGAGAAAAGGGTATGGCAATGTTTTAGGGCCAGGCAAAGAATTCTGTTGGTGAATTCAAAGGTGAGTGACCTGTGTTTTATATTTAGCACACACAGTTGAATTTTCACATGGCCCTACTTGCATGCCCTACTGTGGAGATACAGTGCATCACTGTACAGTATGTTGAAAGTCAGCCCAGTCAGATATTCATGGTATACCTAAATTGCACCAGGCTATAGCTTTTTTTGTGGTGTAAGCACAAAATGACTTTACTATTTAACTATACTGTATTTGTTTCCTCTTGAGCATAAATTTTCTCCTTGTTATAGTTCTGTCAGAAATGTCATGTTATATTTTAGAAAAACAAATGCTTGTTATTATAACCAGGTTTTTTTTCATTAGTTTGCTTTTAGACTTTTCTAACTGTTTGAATTACTTGTTAGAGGCACTTTATGAATGATTGATTGTCATGGCTGTGTAATCCAAACAGCTCCAAATGAAAGAGCAGTACAGTGAATCACATTACAAGTGTAATGATTAGCACTTTCAGGTACTCTGGAAATACAACACAATTATCAGTGCTCCCAACACTGCAGTTTCCCAACAGTGTAAGTTATTTAAACTATTAAGCTATATTTAAATATAAATAGGATGCATAGTCTACCTTATTTCCCAAAATAAATTAGTAGCAACTATTATAACATTTATTCACCAATATTCTTGCAATGTAAACGTTCAGCAATTGGTCAAGTTTACTGAAATATGAAAAGGAAATTATATACTGTATATAGAATGCATATTGCTGTTTTGTACTGTGGCAATCAGTTATACACTGACCAGTTCTAGTTTTAAAAGCAAAACTAATTTTAAAAGTCAAACTCAAAATCACATTTTGATAGATTTTTAAATTACATTTATACAGCATTTTTGGTTGTACTGTTTTCAGAAGCACACCAGCCATTGTTTCCCATCAAAATAAAATCAATCAATAACAATGATATTATTGTGTATCAGATATATACTGGGCATCAAAAGAAATGTTCCACTTGACTGCTGTCATATTTAAAATAGTGTTGTCGGGAAATGATTTTTTTTCCAGCAGGTGCACTGACATTGTTAAACAGATATGACACTAGTAAATTTGTTATGCTAATTGCCCTTTGCCATTTATAGTGTTGATCAATAGGGGGGCTACTATACAGAAAGATACAGGCTACACAGGCTGCAGTGTACTGTACATGGGCACTACTGGAGGCAATACTGAGACACATATTTAAAACCAGGTTGCAGATACTGTCTTGTGGGATCCCATCTCCTTCCTTTCCTACAGCCCGGACAATCATGTGTTCACTAGTCTCTGATCCTTATGCCACACATCGTTTCAGATCATCCCACAGATGTTCAATAGAGCAGGGGCTTTCACATCATAAATGTCACATTCATGTCTCACAAGAAAGCTGTTGTTATACGAACAGCATAAGGACATACTGTATATTGTAATTGACATCTCAGGGCACCTATCAGGGTGATCTTTGCAAAATCTTGATTCATCACTGCTTGGGTTTGCGAGTGCACCTCAGGTGTCATTCCAAATTACCAATGGCACAAAGCTGTGTTCAGCAGAACAAATCGGTTACTGCGAATTGTTTTTATTTCTTTTTTATTTCTTGAGTTCCAGGCTTGGCATTCAGCAGGTAAAATCACCTCATCAACTGTACCCAATTAACTCCCTAATAAAGGTGATTTAGTGCTTATGCGACACTTAAAGTCTCTTACGTGTATTGCAGTCAGTTGTGAATGATCAATTAAATCAAAATGACATCAAAACATCCAGTCAATGTCCAAAGTAGGCTAACTTTATTTTTCTAAAAACATTCATGTATAAATGGTGACATGTTTCTTTTGATGTCCATTATAATATGAATTATAATTTAAAAACAATAAAAGGGAGATGATGTTTCTTCTGATGTTTAGCACTGATTTCACAAAAATGAATTACAAAAAATACATTGTTATAAGGTGATAATTGGTCAGGATTTATAAGGGTAATGTTCACATATCACCTAAAATTGTATCTTTTATAGATATATGCATTATATAATATACTTTATACTGTATCTCACACTGACTAATGTTTCACAAAGACTGCGTTTTCAAAAGTGTTAGAAGAGACATAATGAAACTTCCTTATTTATGATATTCACTGGAAAACTCATTTGTAGAGCACATTTAGGAGATACAGTATAAGTCTACTAGGAATCCAATAGATGGAAATTATTATCTTGAGAATTCAGTCATGAGTTACTGACATTCTTCCAAAATTTACAAAAGCCTTTATTAGAATGTTCATCTGTCCTCCCTTTCACATGCTGGAGCTTTGTTATAGAGGAAACTGGTCCATATGCCTGCCATGTGGCGAGACTGATGTTCTTACCTCTGGTATCCTCATCCTCAATAGTAGTGTTAGTGCTTTCAGATGATTCCTAGAAGGAATATATGAGTAGGGTTAGGATTTAATTCAGGCTCACTAAGCATATATGCTATTAGCACCCACGCGGTATTTGTGAGTGGAATAAGCATATACCAAGTTAAAAGTATCACCCAGACCACCTTTGGTTCTCCTTCTTCCTCACGGGGAAGCTGCACCTTGGGGAAAAAAAGAAACCGCTCCTTTTTAGTTTTGGAAGGAAAGGGCGACAACATCAATACCGGAAAGCCCACTTACTCCACAATGGACAAGAGCCCAAGTGTAATTCAAGCAATGGTTCTGGCAACAGTAAAAATGAAATGTCATAAAAAGAAAGTCCAGCTCCATTTGAATTATGACTTCATTGGGGGGAGGGGGGTTGTATGTTTTTTGTCGCAATGACTTTCCCTATTCGATTTGAGTCCAACTAAAGTACGAAGCCTCCTCAGTGGGTATACAGCTACCACAGGCTGCCAAGAGGGAATAGCACACTCACCATGAGCTGGACACTGGAACTGGACTTCCTTTTCTGGAAGAGAAATGAGAATAAGTTAGACAGAAACAGACAGAATGTAATGGAGGCAGAGACAAGGACATGAGAGAGAGAAAGAGAGAGAGGGCAGAGCCAGAGAGCCCCATTGTGTTTTGTATGAGAGCTGTGCAGTACAGTATCGCCTTTGTGCCACACTTTGCACTTTGCCTGCTGTCAGAGCAGCAAAGCAGCCTCCCAGCCTGGAGCAGAATTCCTTCAATAAAAGAGCATACTGTTGTGAAGAGCACCATGGGCCCCTGCATTGAGATTCAAGCACACGACTTCCTGGGCTCTTTCAAAATGAGCAGGGCTGCTGGAATGGTACATATACACAAGGGGTATCCAATAAGTGTCAGAGACTTGTCAAATGTGACACACGTAAGGTTTTTTTTTTTATTGGAACTCCCTGACATCCCCACAAGCATGAACGCGGTCCCCTACAATATTAATAATTTCTGTGGCTCCTAGTCCACAGAAATGTTGCCTTCTCAGCAGTTTGTAGAAGTCTTGACAAGAGATTGAAGGTGCCAAGTCTTATAGGTATCATAACAGTATCAGTGTATCCACAGCACTTTGAGATTTATGTTTTTAAAAGGACACATTAGTGCATTCACATTATGTAATAATATAATCTATTCCCTTCACCCAGTTTTGTCACACTCAACACTTAATGAATGCCCCTTTGTAAGCTCATATACAGTACTTTACATTTATGGTTTATTTTTAAGCTGCCGGAAGATCCTGGAATAAAAAGTGCATGAACTGCGGCACGTGCCACAGAAACGTGATTAGTGCTCGGCTTCCTGGTGCTGTATGGTTTTCACTCGATGAACTTTAGACATCTCCATTCAGCTGATCCTCAGCACACTGGGCCAGCTATTCAGGGCAGAAACTGAAGACCACGCTTACTGACATTTATTATTGTGATTCTAAGTAAACACACCTTAAAATTAATCCCTGTGCAGAAATGTAGTTCACTGTGAAGAGTTTACCAAGCACTTGGGAGACGGGCTCAACCACGCAACAGAATTTCACAAAAACAAAGGTTATTGTGAGGTGATGTGAGAAATCTGATTAAAATGCTGGACCATTTTAATTTTAATTTTATCTTGATTAAAATTATGGACTATTTGTGCCATAATTTTAAATTTGTCCCCAGAAGCACAAGGATTTAAGATTTTAATATAAACATTTATAATAATATTAATTTATATGGTACCAGCATATAAGTGAATTTTAATAATATATAAGTACTATATGCAGAATTACTGTGCATATGTATCTTATAATTATCACTGTAATAGTGATAGAAAAGCAAAATGAGATCAGTCATACAGTACTGTGTATCTCACAAGAACTCTGGTCATGATAGTAAGAAGGTAAAGAAAAATAGACAAATAATACAGTAAATTGCATTTTTAGCATAGAATTTCCAAATGTAATTGTTTTTCTTTGCAGATTACCACTGAATTATTTGAGTCTTCCAAAGAGTAATCATTCTAATACTACACCTCAGAGCACTCAGAGCTCCTGGGTCTTGCTTATTTGGCTGCTTACACAGTGAATGACCACTTTCTCCTCAGATTTCAATCTCAGGGTGGTTAAGTCAAAAAAAGATTCAGCATACCCCTACCTTCACACCATCATTCTTCTTATTAGCCACACTTTTAGCTCCTGAATAAGAAATAAGGAAAAACAGTGAGACCAGAAAAGGCACAGATGCCCAAAACATGAAGGCAAATGGCATTGTGAGCAAGTTCAAAAGATCAAACATTAAACTTGCAAAGACTTGGAAAATCCACAGTGATCCCAGGAGACTAAACAAAAATAATTTCTCTGTTGCCGTAGTCCTTTTTGAAGATATTTTTTTTTTCTTTTCAAGGATACAGTCACATCAGGATGCAGGGGATTGTGTTACATATGGTAAACACTTTTGCAGAACTAGTTTGTTTTCAGAGTGTTCAGAGCAAAAATAAGCGTTGAGCAAGAAAGTTTTTGTCCCATTAAAAAAAAATCCACACAGAAAAATGTAAAAAAAACTGAGGTAGCCACCTGTATCAATCATTATGAGCTCAAAAAGAGGTCATAATAATTAAGACTGGAATTATAACAAAAGTTCAAGAGGCCTCCCTTGTATAAGAATGCCTGATTAATTTGCACCATGTCCAGTTCAGCTGACAGTCATGTCCTGTTACATTGTCTCTCCTTCAGGACTGTTTGTTTTATAAGACACTTTAAAGTGCTGAGCTAGGATATTTCCTTTTTTATTTTAATCAACGCTTTGCTAATTTTAGCTCTGCCTTGACTGGGTCACGTGGATGCTCATTCTGGAAGCAAATATAGGCCTATCAACAGCCTGAATGCCTGGCGAACCTTGATCCCTGGGGCCATGGATACAGTTGGAAAAGCAGATAAGGCCTGACTATTTGGGCATCCTCTGGATGTGAGCCACAGCGTAATTCAAGTAGTTCACAATGAACAAGGGCAACAGATTTGCCCATTAGTCTGTTTAAGGTGGTATAAATAGAGTAACAGTAAGCTGGCTGTAAATCTCTTTATGTGCTTATGCACAGCATAAGTAAAAATTATTTAAACCGATGCTTCTTGCACCACAGGCAGAGGTTTAATTTACATGAATATCCCCTAGAACACTGAACAGCTTCTATTCTTAATGCCAAAAACTTAACACTGTTAAAGAAAGCCCTGCACTTGCCTTTTAATGTTCTGACAAATTAACAGGGACTTGAAACTGTTTGCACTCTAGTATTGTACAGCAAGGTTTAAGAGAATGCCAGTCCTGCCGATTATGGAAATAAAAGGCTGAATACTGAGACGATATTTGCAATTGGGTTTAGAATAGTATCACTTTACTGCGTGAATTTGTACATTTCCTTGCTCTCATTTTGTGCGCCAAAACATAAAAACATATCTGTGGCAAAAGTTTATGATGTATATTCAGTTTATTTTACTGCAGAGTGGCATGGCTAATGTTTATAAAGGAAAGTCCATTTTGAATAAAACTAAATATACAATATGTATAATTTTACTTGCAGTAAAATTCTCATTTCTCTGTATTATAAGTGAGAGATACATAAATAATTTCAGAGGGAGTTTGATGTTATTTAGTGATTGTGGTACTCCTGAGACAGTGTGCTCTCAGACTGCTAAGTTGAGATGCATTATGACCCAAATATGAATGCATTCAACATATACAGGATCTCATCTGTCCATCATCTTTGAGTATTTGAAACAAGAACTAGTCCCCAGAGAACTATGGGGACTAAAACTTCCCTATTTATGACAGAACAAAAGTGTTTTATTGCCAGATAACTTCACAAGTTTGCCTTAAAAATTGTTAAAATGCCTTTTAACAATAGAAATATGTGTAAGCAAGTGTTAAATGAGAAATTGTAACAGTTATTATGATGACACTTCTTTTAATTACATTACAATATTATATTCTCAAATTACAGTATATGATACTGTAGTGTTAGTCCATAGATAATCCAAACTGTTACATTACTACTTAAAATGTTGTTCATTCTTTCAAATGACATTCAGAAACAGAAATAGACGATAACTTTAATTATTGTACAAGCTGAGCTCCTTTGGTGTAGAATACAAAAGACTTTTAGATATTTTCTATTGTAGATTATGATGCTTGCCAGAAAGACCCATTAGATTAACCTTGAAAGGATGAAGTAGATGAACTAGTGTGTTTTTTATTAGGAAAGGACACATTATTAAAATAAACATACACAGTGCATCACAAAATGACAATGTGTTTCTCTCAATACTATTAATTCTCCTTATCTCAACAAATTGACAAATTATATATGCTAAATTCTAAGTTCTAATTCTAAATTCTGTTGCCATTAACTTGTGCACCAAATGTTGTGGCATTAAGCAATATTGGTGAAGTTATTCAGACTAGAAGCAGAGCAGATGGTTTTGCCAGTATAAGTGGGCTGCAGTTGCAGGCAAGTCCACATGCACCTTTTGTCAAGGAACAATTTTAATTGTGATGAATATCTGTTTTGAACAGATGGCAAAACGTCTACTTTCCACCAACTTCTTTTTTTAAGCAGTGGCATTAATAGCACACTAAGCACAGCTGAGTAGTTATCTACATTTTGTGGATGATAAATGATAAAACCGGTATACTTAACATGACAGCTTGCTGCAAGGAAGGAGTGTGCATCCAGCACCACTGGAGCCAATGCACAAGTGGTGAGATCAAAGCCTATTCTGTTCCCCAGAATGCTTTAATGATCACTGGTATTGTGCAGAGTGATCCAGAAGAAAGTTTTGGATGTCAAAATTGAGTACAAGTTGGCATAAACTATACCGCAATGCAGAGCCCCAAACCTTTGCAAACTGTTGTCTTAGCCTGTTCCAAAAATTACAGAGCTGCTCTCTCTCTGAACCTAGTGAGCTGTGGCCACAGCTTTTGCAAGTGTTTACACACAGAAATAAACTGCACCCCAGCTCCTTCGTAGAGGAAGGTTTCTGCTGCAGTGCACTTATCACTCTCCCTAAAGTAAGGCAATAGAGGACCATTCAGGGAATATATCTTATGAACTTACCCGAAAAGTTTCGTGTTGCCAGCATAGTCGTAAGAATAGCACCCTGGAGTAAAATAATGACACAGAACAAGCTGACTTTGCCTCTTTTTTAGCCTAAAACAAGCATTTCACAGCTCATTGGAGAAAGGTAGAAAACGCATCAATGGTTTACAACAAATATAAATAAATTTATATTTGTGGTTACAGCTTAATAAATTTTTGTTTACCACATGCACCAAAATACACATTACTGCAATGGTAGTCGAAAGGCAGTAACCCAAGAGACATTGCTGAGAAGATTACATTCTGCTTTGGCAGCTCATTCTAGCAGTTTATTGTAAAGGTGCAAGCAATGAACCTCACAAATGTGATGACATATCACTCAAACAAGTAATTATGCTGGTTTAAAATTATGTTGGCAAAAGGTGCTCTAGAGAAATAAATGTCTATTAAACTTCTACTCTCTTATTTCAGTCCACAAGTTATAAATATTGGGAACATTCTAAGATGTTATAAATCAGTAATAACAAATCAATAACCATCTTGCCAATTAAATAATTCTGGATAATCCAATATGTTTTTTTAATCAAAATTACTGATACTTACTATTGATGTTACTGCAATTTTTTGTTATTTGATCATGAAGTGAAGACTAAGGACAAAATAACATGAAATATAAAAAACTATGGCGTTGACGGTAGCTCCCATCAGTATTGCTCTTGCAGTCTCTTCCCTGATGTGGCTAACCTGTGTTCCCACTGATACAGCTGGATTCAATTCTGATTAGTCCGCATACCTTCAGCTTCCTCCGGGCATTGAATTTCTTCAGGCAGTCCACGGTTTCCTGTCTGTGCATGCAGGAGGCCACTGTGGAACGATGCTGCCCGGGACAAGAGATTACAGTGAGTTAAACAAGTTCAGATTCATCGCTAACAGAAAGACTTCCCAGAAAAAAAGCCCCCATACTCACCGAGATCCATGGGTGCTTGAGGGCCTCTGCTGCAGTAATACGCTTGGCAGGGTTAATGGTTAACATCTTGTTAATGAGGTCTTTCGCTTCAGGAGTTACAGTGTCCCACTCTGGAGAGGGGAACTACAGAGAGAAATCAAGGAGAGGCAAATGATAGTCATTGAGATGATAATAAGAAGTTGTTGGTTATCACATGTGTTAATTATGAGGTGTGAAGATCATGTCTCTGGTCTGTATTAGTGCTTTAATTCCACTGTCTTATTATCTATTTTGTTAAACCATTTTTCACCCAGAAAGCTAAACTTTGCCTTGGGAAAGACGAACCAATGCAGTTGACTTTTATGTATTTTAAAAATATTATATATACAGTATACTGTATGCTGTACATAGCATCCATGTTTCAATGTAATTTGCTACATGTGAGCTCGAACTGCATAGTTATCTGAAATCCATATTTCCAATTTTTCTAACATCTGTTATTTTCAAATCTGTCTTAATTAAAACAAAAAAGTCAGCCAGTCCACAGAGACCTGTGTACTCAAGAAACTTTCACACATAATGAGTGCTTCAGGGAGTTTTATTATGCTTGATGGCCTTTTTCCTCAAGCAAAAATAACACACACTTATGAACTTGATGTAAGGACTTGCTTTGTCCATGCTAACTACACTTCTGTCAAAATGAGTATTTTTAAATACATGAATAGTACCTACTGTAAGTGTTCCATTTTCATTTATTTACAATCTTATGGTCATATTTAGGCACAAAAGGATTGCATAAGGTTTAATACCTTCGTTTCAAATTTACACTTTTTACCATTTATTTAAGCAGAGTCCTGAGGTGTGGGAGTGGAACAAGACAGATTTTAGACTAGTTAAGAAGGAGGGACTTTTGACAGGTACTGTAGGTCTAAACTTCTTACTCCAGTCTCCTGGGATACTTAATTTTCACAGTGTGAACATATAGACAGTTCAATACTTCCTCTAAAATACTGGGCCTTCTACAAAATACTCCCTCCTACTGAAACATTAGTTATGAACTTCTGGTAGAAAGGGAATAATACTGCCTACTTGTTCTCCAACCTGTCTTGTTTCCTGGTCTCATCTTTGCTAAAACCCAAGTTAGTATAACTGCAGATAATATTGGCAATTGTTTAATTAGTTAAATTATGTATTCAAACACATTTCAATGGCAGGTTCCTTTAACTTCCCAGTAATAGGTTAAAATTCTGTGAATATGTCTTGTAGTCAGAAACTTGATAATCAGGTTTTAGTCTGCAGTGAGGAGATAAGATGAAACAGCATCTGCTGAAATCTGAGGAAACAGTGTACTGAGCTATTAGTGCAGCTAAAAAAGATAAGACTAAAATTAGTGACAATAAAGAATTGAAAGGCAAAAAATAATGCAGAGCAAGAATTAATAATTAATAATGAGATTAAGAATTAATAATGAAAGATGATAAAATAGAAGGTAAAAAAGCTAAATGGAAATGTCATGGATTTTTACAATAGAAGACATCAATACCATGCACTATGCACTAGAGGAAGCTTTAAACTAAAGCTGAGATTTTATGTCATTTTCCCAGTTGTATTTAAGTAAAAGAGGGGTGTTATTTTTAGACCTTTGTCTTTTGGATATTTCAAATCTCAATACAGATGGGAGTTGTGCCAACTGATTATAAAACTTACACATGTAAAACCATTTTAAACAAGGAGAACAACAGCGGGCCACAAATCTAAATACCAATCAGCCTTACCACCTTTACTGGTGAGGTAATGGGAAAAAGTAAACTAGAAGAATACTTAAATAACATGATCACAATATCAGATTTAAGGTAAAACAGACCATAAAATAGTCGATTCAGGTGGCATATCCTAGATCTTTGTTTTTGTCATTTACTGCAATTAACTCCTCTTCATTCACTCTTATCACTTACATCATAGGCTCCAGCCTTGATCTGCTGATACAGTCTGTGTTGATCCTCATCCCAAAAGGGCGGGTAACCCACCAGCAGGATGTATAAGATAACACCTGAGAGGAACAGGGAGGGATACATTAACAGATCTGATGCAGGCAAAGATCTGAATCTTGCATAATGGTCTCTTTCAAACTCTCTTTTTCTGTCAGATGAAGTGTATTTTCTATGCACACCTACAGGTATCACTCAACAGGAATCAATAAATACACCTATATGGAAAACTGCATATTACAGAAGATAGAATGTAAATAGATATAGATACAGAAGATAGAATGTACATTTATTTTAATTAAAAACATTATTCCATGCTATTCTCCTCCTTTTTCTTTTCTGTATACCTGAAAATATATGAATCAGATCTCTGAGAGCTGAACTAGATCTTGCACATTAACTACCTTTTCCAAGATGCACCACGGCATTCTTTTACAGCATTCTTTGTTGTATGTCATATGATAACCACACCATTATTTTAATTTCATAGGCTAACCCAAAAAATGGACCTTACTTTCTGCAAGTACTATCCAAACAGCTGGGCTCACATTCAGTCCCTTTTTTGGTAGAAAGCAAGTAAAAGCTTTATAATTGCAATATGATATTTGTCACAGTATATTTAACCTTTACAGTGGCCCAAAATGGAAAGTTTAATTATAGCAAATGTAAAATATATTATTGAAGAATATTAATGTTTCTGATTTTCAATGGTGCAAAGTTTAGGGTAAGAATCACGTATACTGCCCAGTTTATGTTACTTATTCCATTAGAGTTTAGGAAAGACACAATTTCACATCTCAGTCTGTAAGAATGTGACAACTACGAAAAATATCTCCATTCATTGGTCCATTCAAAAGTTCATATAATTACCAGTGTGAATCTGTCACTGAGAAGGGCTTGATTATGCAAAACACATGCCTGAAAGTCTCACCCATTACAATGTCAAATCTGTTTGTTTTTGCGCAGATTTTAAAAGCCATTCATTTGATATTAATTGTTGGATTTTTAGATGGAAGTAGCCACACGCTGTCATCCTGCTGAAGGCGAGAGAGTAGAGGAAAAGCAGATTTTGCATTATTGTTACTCTTGTCTCGCAGAGGACAATGATCTCCGAGGGGAATTGCTGGGAGAGCAAAATGCTGTTCGATGCGGGATGTGTCGCACATCAAAACGAGTTACATGTCAAGGAACTGTTAACCGTGGCTCCACCACCCCCACACACACACCCACACACCCACCCACACACAGATCAGTCCTGAGATGATGTTTCTGGAACATTCCTGGTAAATACACATGAGCCTCACATTATTCAGTATGAGCTGTAAAGTATAAAATGTAGCACTTCCTTGTGACTAAAATAATATATAGCACATTGCTGTTTTCTCGATTTTCAGCCTGTTTCCATTTTCATCCGATATTTCGCTTTACCTAAAACTACATATTGCACAATGAAGCTCAGGGCTGCCAGCAAACTTGTGTCATTTCAGGTGTTTTTTCAAAGGGACCAATGTAGGTTGAATTTTTAAATGAATTCAGCTTGAGTTAATGGCCATCTGTAAAGCAGACAGAAACAGAAATGTGCTGTTAGCTAGAGTATTTGCTTGTCTTCTGAAAAGAATGTGCCATGAATAATTCTTTTTACACCAATGGCAATAAATTTGCCAGGGATTTTGGAAAAATTCCAAAAGAGATTAATCTCTCTCCTATTAAGCCAAATCATCATGACCTAACTTAACATTAAAAAGTAATGCAGGGGCATAGACTAGGTCATTGTTATTTACAAGTGCATGTTTTTGATGTTGTCTAATTATTAGGTAGTAAATTAGATCTCAATGTGTGGTTAACTACAGTAAATTTTTCCTTGTCTTGGAATTAAATAGTCCAAGGTATGGCTCCACATTTCTCACTATGACTAGACAAGTCTAATACTAGACCTTGCCTGCTATTACATTGCATTTGCATTTTGCTAAGAGCCTTTCATTGCAGAAATGTTTCATCATGAACATTGGTTCTGGTTCTAATAAATAGCCATTCTTAACTGAAATTCTCGAGAGATGATGACAACCAAGCCATTTTCTCCCCAGGTGTTCCAAATCATAATCATTTCCACTGTCATTTCTCAGAAGTTCTATATATACAGTATATATCATACGCAAATCACTCTTTTTCGCATTTCTTCTTATGTGTTACTCCTCCTTCATGTCTCCTTAGTTAATCCTTAGTTAACTCCTCAGTTTGCATGTCTTGTGGCCAAGGAGCTGGCTCTCAGTTAATAATAATAATAATTGCTTACACTTATATAGCGCTTTTCTGGACACTCCACTCAAAGCGCTTTACAGCTAGTGGGGACTTCCCTCCACCACCTCCAATGTGCAGCATCCACCTGGATGATGCGACGGCAGCCATAGTGCGCCAGAACGCTCACCACACACCAGCTATCAGTAGGGAGGAGAGCAGGGTAATGAAGCCAATTCATACTGTAGATGGGGATTATTAGGAGGCCAATGGGAAATTTGCCAAATAAGTGGCATCCTAAGTGGGTTAAGCCAAATTTCAACTATACCTAAATATTCAATAATGTTCTTCAGATACATATTTGACAGTCAGAATTGTTTATATGCTGTATTTATATTATGATAAATACAATGTTGCTTCCTTGGCAGATACTTGCTCCTTGAGTCTATGGGCTCTGTTAATAACACAGCAAAGCCTTTTGCAGCTGCTATGTACACAGCACAGGTGGTCAGTATAATAGATTACTGTCTCATGTTTGAGCTGATAAGAGGCTGCAATTGGCCCATCACTCACCACAAGCCCACAGATCCACTGCTTTTCCATAGGGGTCTTTTCTAAGTACCTCTGGAGAAAGATATCCAGGAGTGCCAGCAAAACCTACAGCACCGAGAAACAAAAAGACATTTGGAAGAAACGTACATTTTCCAAAGCGCCGTGTTTAAGCAACAGAGCTTCCTGGATCATGGGAGCCCAGGGAAATCATCTAATCAGTCTGTAGAAAAACAGCATTTCCTTCCTAGTCAATACATCACTGTAGGCCCTGATGTTGGAAACAGATTCAGCATTGACTGAAGCTCACTATGCCAATAGATATTAAGATTATCTGCGGTGTGATACCATTACTTTGTCATACCTCCAGCAATTTTTCTCCATGGAGGACAAGGCACAAGGGGCATCACTGTTTTCAGTTGCTGTGTTAACCTTTCACAACCTTTTGCAAAACTCATGGATTCAGTCATTTAATTTTCTATAACCTTGCACATTGCAGCCAGAATGCTTCATCCTCATCTTCTTCCTGAGACTTTCTGGGATGAAATAATGAGAGTATAGAGCGAACAATACTTATTGTGTCTTCATCCCACTCAGTTTTCTCATAATCAATGTTACTCTTTCAGCAAGTAATGGTGACTATAAGAAAGCTGTAAAAAATGGTTGCTAATGTAATATACACTGTATTGCAGATAATTATCTTGTGCTTGATGTGACACAGAAGCAGTTTACGTAAAGATTATAAGACAACTGTGTTTTATACACTGAAGTGGATTTTTTAAGCTATGGGCACTAATTTGCTAAGCTGACTGATTGCGCTCTTCTTGTATATTGACTTTGTATACATTTAATAGCCTTTAGTTGCACTGAAGTCTCAATTCAATTATCTTCTGTATTGTATAAAGAACAGTTCTGAGAAATCTAGAAGCAGGTATCAAGCACCACAGTGAGTCATCATTCAGATAATTATTATTTTTTATTTATCCAGCCTAATATTAATCAATTTTTTGTTCTTATTTCACATTATATGGAATGTTACCTGAACAGTTAAAAACCATGGTATTGAACCTTAATATCTCAAAATTAATCAACAGAAATTAAAAAAGCTGTGGTCTTTGTAATGCACAGTATATTCTTTCACATTGTCATTAATTGATTGCTGCTGTATAAAAAAAGAAATCTTTTCACACAACAAGAAAGGTATATTAAACCTACTTACATTGTAAAGTGGTATTAATCATATTCTCTGCTCTGAATTGCAGTTAATTTGAAGCATTAAACCAGAGTTGTCACATTTTTATTATGCCTTTCTCTCGAGACACCTAGCAATACGACATAAAAAGTAATTACAGGTTTAAAGGAATTTAAATACTTTGCTTTTTCGTGTTATTTTGTTTCATTTGTCATGTTCATTGTAATTCTCTGTGGTTCGGACTGCTAAATATCATTTCCACCAAAATGCGTCTAAAGCTTTTCCATCACCAGTTATCAGGGATTATGGAAATTGCAGCAAATTAGCATCTACTGTATGTGCAACATCTATGTACCTTTTAAACTCAACAAGCAAACAGTGGCCTACTCTTTAGAGGACGTTAATTTAGTACAAAGTAAAGGATGTACATCTTGGTTAAAAAAAAAAATCATTATTAAAGGATGTTCAGGATCGGCAGTGTCAAATGTCATTGATTAAAGTAACCTTCCACTGTAATTAAAATGTGCCTGCCAGTCTGTTTGATCTTTGATCAAGTAACACAAAGGGATACAGATGCTGTGCAAATTGTAAACACTCAGCAGGCTCTGAGCTGATGAGCCCAGTCTGAGAAGTCGCGTTTCTGTTTTGGGCGGCAAGAGAATTCATAAATAAAATATTTTGCATGGCCAGAAAGCCACATTCTTATCCCATACATTTTCATAAGAAGCCAGTTACTTAACTTATTGTTGTCAGAATATTCATTTGTAAGTAACTGGAAGGAATATTGCTATTTTTTACTTATTAATTGTGTCTGGAAATTAATATTCTCTATCATGCTATCAAAGAAACATTGATAATGGTCTAGTGTTTGATTGACTTTATTATTTTTCCTCAACTGCTTATTAACACCTGTTCACATCATGAACATATTCATGGCCGAATTTTTTTGAAAAATGACCAAGAATTTTAGGGACATTATTGGAAATGCATAAATATATGCATATTCATATGCAGTTATTAGAAACCAATTAAAAAAACTGTAACAAATGCTTACTGTTTTATTTAGTCTTGGACAGATATTCTGCCTAAATACCTATGAGGACTGAATGAAGAATGTCACTCAGATGTTGGGTTCATTCATAAACAGCTTACATCATTTACAGTTCAAACCACATTTAAATCCTTTGCATTTCCGGCATCTCATAAGAGTACTCTATATTCATCTCACTCAGGGAAAATTTCAGGGACAATCCTAATCTGCTGTATAAACTGTGATTCATATATTTTTATCACTGACTTCTGTTGAGTCTGTTCATTAATCAGTGTGTTTTCAGCCTCCGCTGTCTGCTTTTCTTACCAAACCAAGCTTGCTGATCGCCTTCTACTTCGATTGCCAGACCAAAGTCCGCCAGCTTCACTGCTGCCCCTTTTGACTTGGAAGCCAAAAGCAAGTTTTCAGGCTTTAAAAAATACAAAACACAATTAATTTAATCAGACAGAATGCATTTTCCTGTCCAAGTCAACACACCAGTGATTACCCGAGTTACTGTACCTTTTTCATCTCTAAAAAAGGAGCAATGTCTGCCTGTCCAATGTAATTTAATCAGTCATTCAACTTAATATCACTCAAGAGTAAAAATGCCAGCTCTTCTGGATCCACCCAGCACTTGTGCACAGAATATTTACTTCAGTGGCTGGTTACTTGCATTCAGGATGTAGCAGAATTTTCTTAAAAATAATAACCGATGTAGATGACAAGAGGCCAATATAAAGGCTGATAAGGCTATAGTATAAAAAAGAATCACACAACACTATGAGTGCTTTTTACCAATATTGTTAATACTGTATTTATTTTTGTTCAACAGATGTCCTTATACAGGGCAACCTACCTAAAAAAAGCAAATAATTGAAATACAGTAGAAAACCATACTTGTACAAGGAAGTGTTAATAATCAGAATTTGTCAATGCAATAAAGCAGTGTAATATGCTTAAATGAAAGTGAAACAGCGGGCGTTTGTGTCAAAGTTGCCTGGGTTATGTTTTGCTAGTGACTTTCATCTCTATACTGTTTTTTTACATGATCCAATAACATCAGCCAATATTCGATGTTATAACAGAACCTTGGCAGAATAATTGTAAGGTTGATGCACTAATTGACCAGCAGTATGAAGCTTTTATCGGCGGGGGCCTGAATGAAATGACTTCTGTCTCCAATGGACAAAAACAAAGTCCAATTACATATAACCCTTATTAAGAGATGGCATCCAAACTGAAAAGCTTTTCGCATTAGGAACACTTTGCTTTGATAGAAAGCATTCACAGTGCCCACTGGCATAGCTGCAGACTGCTGCCGGTGCTATTGAACACTAAAGTAATTCACAGCATGCTGAGCTGAAAATTTGAGTGATACATCATACTATTTTTATCTCGTCAAAGAGCAAAAAAGTTATAAATAAATGTATTATATTTATGTTAATCTCCTTATTTGCAAAATGCCCCTTGATGGTATCTGGAAAAATAATAACATATTAATAATAAAATAATAAAACAGGCAACAAAAATCCTTTTTGCTTTCTTTGCTGAAATGTAAGATAATATTGTTTTGTATGGAGAAATGTTGTTTTTACATTAGAAAACTGTATAATTTTCAGTCTTAAATGCAGTCAGAGAGTATACAATATGCTGTATCAAGTTACAAGTTGGCAGGATGGAATACCTACACTAATCCATTTAGACTCTCATGCTCAACAGATACAAGAGTTGTTTTTCTTTGTCTTTTTCCAATAAGTTGTGTGACACTGGACCTGATTGTTAGTGGCAGCCAAAAGAATGAAAAGAATACATACAGAGTAGAATCAAAAGGAAAAATACTTTTCAGTAACAGATGACATGTTGTTCCCTTAAGCACCCAAGATAAAAGATGCCTATTAATACCTGGAATGTGTGAGGTCAGACAAGAAAAAATGGACAGTGCTCCTGTGTCACATTAAAAGTAATGATTCCCCAGATATTGCATTGTTTCAGACCAAATGGGGAGTATGTATGTGTGATAGAGCATTATAAGAGCATCATTTATCAAAGGGTTATCCCCAAAGTACAATTTACACTTGGCGGAAGACTTTTAGATATGACAAACCTAGCAACGCCTTGTAAATACAGCAAAATAACTACAGGATAAGTGCCTTCATTAGGACACATTTATGGACTCATCTAGAAGATTAACTTTTCTTCAGTTTTTGTCAGTTGTTCAGACAATATGTGAGATTAAGTGATGAACTCCTTAACAAAAAAGTGCTGTATAGTGCTGTGCCAAAACTGTTTTTTGTTTATATGATGCATCATTCCTGGTCCTGATATACTTTTTACACTACGTTTTTCTTATATCTTATTACTCTTATTAGTAGAGAACATCCAATTTGTTAGCACAGTGTCCTCCACATATATTATTGGTAACCTTCTTCCATTCTATGAATGTCTTACTTGCTGTACGTACTGTGTAGGTACTGAGATATTTTTTGCTTGTGTTTATGTGGCATTTTTCTTAAGATACTAAAGATGAATGCACAATCGTGTTACGTGAATACACTACCACCTCACAGATTGTAAAATAAAAGGAATGTACAGTATAAGCACTTTGTGGAAGGAAACTTTCATTCCAACCTACGTAAGAGATGTGAGTACTGTATATAAGGAAATGTAAGTATGGAAAAGCTCAAGTGCAGTGCAATTAGGACTTTACTTATTTGTTCATTAAAGACTGTAATTTTACTTCTTTCCAAGTTGTCCAAGCTAACAGATTTGTGCTCCAAATCAATGAAGTTGCATATGCCATATCTTAAGCAAAAGGATGATTGATGATTAATTTTTCCTTTCACACTATACATTAAGTGTTGAATTACGTGTCAATTCATTGCATAGTGAAGGCAGTGGTGATTCTTTTAAAAACAAATTTAAACCAGAAAATGAAAACCTCAAATGAAAAAAGAACTATTAGCATAACTGATATTTCTAATACTGGCTTTTCTTTTCAACTCAATACACAGAAAGGCATAACAGTTTTACCTGAATAACGAATGCATGTTAATAGCTTGCACAGTCCTTTTATTAGAGTACTCGCAGTAATGGCACAGCAATTATATCATACTTTTCAGACAGGGATACAGAGGAATTCTTTTGAGGATCGCACAACACTGTAATTAACCCTGGGCTTGCTTTTGGGCCCAAGTGTGTAACTTGCATATCTGAGCAATAGGCAAAGAAAGTCAATTCAGGACACATACAGAATTATTTTTTGTTAAAGTATGTTTCTAATAATCTATATACCCAGTGATAAAGAACTGTATTGTTATGATTCCAATAGGTTGTCATACATAATGTAAATAGTTTTTGGCTGTTTTTATGTATTTCTTTTGTAACAAGAATTTATACGTGCTGTTATGAAATGTGTATAAGTTAAAATAAATTGGAAAAGATTGACTTAAGCCATACTGGCACATACAGTAAGCACAAAGTTAGTGATAGAAATGTTACATACTGTATAAAGCTGCAGTATCAAGAAACAATATTTTCTCTATATCAATTTCTGAAACGTTGTAGCCAAGTACACTGGGCTCATGATGTGTTCCCAAAGTTGGTGATACTGTATGAAAATATGATAATTTGAAAAAGTCTAATCTATTAGTGTGCGGGTTATGAGTTCTATATTTAATCTAAATCAGATGTAATTTTGGTTATGTGGGAGAAAACAAATACAAAAAGTGCCCATTCTAATAGAAATTGCTTGGAAGCAAAGCAAAAATTAAGATTTAACTTTGTCGTCCCAGTCTTTTTGGAGGGCAGTGTAGATACCCACCTTGAGGTCTCTGTGGACAACTCCCATCTGATGGCAGTGTAAAACAGCTTCCAGAATTTGCTGGATACAGTGGCTAATAATAAAACAAGGATCACAAACAACTGCAAATTAAATGACATGCCTTGGTCCATGCGCACTACTGATCTCTCCAAAATGAGGCTCACATTCTTCAGCCAAAGCTACTGTTTGGTTACCATAATGGAAAAGTGCCCTTTTATTATGTTAGTTACCATTAATCAAATTGCTTTTCAGTGCAAAGCACGTTATAGATTACTACACTATATTATTCCAAATCAAGTTAAGGGGACTACAAAGCAGAACATAGTGGGCAGGATTCATTAAAATATTTGGATTGAAACTGTGATTTACTTATCCACCATATCTTCCAGAAAGACATAAAGTGCCCTTGAAATCTCAGAATCGATTGTATTAGTTTTCAGAATATGTACATCTTATGCTGCTTAAATGAAGTCTGATATTTGCATTTTAATGAGGATTTGCTTTTGTTTTCATTTATTTTCTTTCTGCAGTGTTTAGAAAAACAATGATGCCCACGATAATGCACAACCAAGTCCCTTTCCAGTCTCAGTCCCTTCAACATAATGTGCTTAACCTACAGTAGTTAATTAGTTCACACTAATTGCAAACAAAGCCCCACTGGTAAATAACTTCAAGCCTCCAAACACAATAGATTGTCTTCCTTTCAGTTGTTTTTATACAACAAGGCCTGCTTTCTTTAGTGCTTGTTCGTTCTTTTCCTCAAATAACAACAAAGTGACGCTGCTAAACTCATATGAGCACTACCACCCTCACTTGTCTCATCCCTTTCTGAGCTAAAAAAATGATTGTACATTGTTTTATCCTTTATTTAATCAGATAAATCTGATTAACTGGAGCAAACCTGACAATTTTTGAAGGGTACAACAGCAGCTAGTAAGAAAAATCTAAAATCTGTCCATTGGTAGTAAATTGCAGAGAAATGCCAATATAGCAATTATAATCACTACAGTCTACCTGTAACAGGCAGAAAGAGCTCCAATGATATGTTTACATACTTCACAAGGATAAATAGCAAGAGTTCTGATTTGAGTTCTTCATCACAGATGATACACAGCTGAAGTATCAAATATGTATACACAGCTGGAGTATCAAGTATGTATGGAAACACTGTTGCTTTCAAAATCACACTATGGAAAGAAGTGATCACTCTTTTGGATCGTTTTTTAAGAGCATGTTACTGTGACAGTCCCAAGAACAGTACAGTAGTTCTAATTTAATTTTTTTTTAAATAAGCACAGGGGTACCGTGATGCTGTTTGGAATGCATTCTTGCTATTTAAAATATTTTCTAAAGATTTGACTAAAAATGCTACGGCATTAGAATGGAACAAAACTAAGGATGTGTGTTCTGTTATTCAATAATAAAACCATGCCAAAGCAGTAATTGTCTAATCACGTTTTTCCCCATTCAGTGGATGCTAATTGAAGTGGAAACTTCCCAGTAATATGAAAACAAATCTTTATTTGCTTTTGTGAAAAAATCCTTTCTATACTACAGGGGAAGTAGTGTGGTGATCATATGAAAGGCTTCTAGCAGATGGGCCTGTTTTATATTGCAGGACAAATTTAATTGTGTTTTTGTGCCTGGTGTCTAAAGACCTTCAGGGAGAAGTAAATAGAGACAGAGTGAGAAGAAATTTACTTACCTAGCATCAGCCTCACTATAGTATTCTCTTGCAACAATGTCTTCAAAGAGCTCTCCTCCTGTTACTCTGATGAAGTCAGAAACAAGCATTGTGTTTGTACATTGTCAAATAATCCAGATATTTAACAATACTGCTGATAACCAAGAAAAGAACAGTTAATTCTCCCTTTAAAGTGCTAAAACAAAATCTTATCTTCACTTTAGCAGACATAAAAGGATATATGTTGAAATCTCTTTTTCTCACTCTATATACTGAAATGTACATACAGGGTTCCATTCCAATCTCAAGTGGGGGTTGGGAAGTTTTGCTGTCAGCTTACATGAAAAAGATAGACACTGTTTTAACAGAGATACCGACAGAGATACAGTAGAAAAAGAGGGCAAGAAAAAGAAACAGAGACAGTCTTATTGTTATGATTATTACTTCCAAATTTCCTTTTCCTGTATATACTTCATCTTATTTTTTATTAGGCTGGAGGCTGATCATTATGCATAAAGTGGTCTGTGTAAAAGAATTCTGACAGAAAACATTTTTCACTCTGGCATGCATTTTCTAATAGTAGCAGCTGTTCCACAGCTGGTGTCATTCTCTTATCATTGCTCTGTGATACCTTCTCATTTCACTAAAAGTATTTCTATGTTCCTATGCATTTTTCTGACTAAATAACCTCCTCACATTTATGACTCGACTTATGTTTCATAATAATGTTGGAAACGTGTTTAATATTTCATTAAATTGTCCATATGTTTATTCAATTTTACATTACCATTATCATTCATCTAGAATGCCGATCCAAAACTATGCTTGTGACTTTGTTGTGAATCTTTCACCCTAGAAGTTATAAAGTTGTCTAAAGCACATTCTTTCATTAATGCTTTACTCCCATATACTCTAATGCTATTCTGAAAATAGGAATACATACAACAACACAGTTTGAACTATTATATGGGTTTCTGTTTTCATTATTGTCCCCAGGGAGCACTAAAAAGTTATAAATTAAATATTTTTTTCAAACAGAAGCTATTAACTATGGAAACTGGAATTGTGAGCCGCTAGATATAATACTGCTGCCACAGCAGATTCATATTTAGAGTTACCAATCTTGTCTCCAATTTTCAGCAATAGAATTTGGTCCTGCACAGGTCTGAAAGGACAGAGTGTAACTGAGTACAATGACACAAAAACCATACACACTTTTATTCTCCTCACTGTCAAGGCTGAACTAATGGACACATTTAGCTCTCTTTGTGCCTGACAGTGGATCTCGTTTTAAGAATAATTCACAAATGTAGCACATCAAATCAATGTCTAAGTGCTTCCTGGAGGAACTATACTTATATTTCTTTGTAATATAATTTCAGAGAGAGAGAAAAAAGAGAATTCTTTGAGAAATTACTTCTTTGTTTCCGAATAAATTTGCCCATGTGTACTCGTAGCTTTTTGAAGTTCTTAGCTTTTCTGAAAGCTTTTTGCCTTTTTTTTTAAACATATCTGAATGGGACTGAGTTGCAATATACAAATTGATTGTTAAAATTGATCTTTTTGTCTCTCAGCGATAAGGTCAAATCTAAGAATCTGTTATTTTGACTATGATTTCCTAAAAGATGTTTTGTGAATCTTTTTTACCGGGTAAGCTGTGGCAGTTAGCTGATCGGCTAAAGCAGAGCTGTGTGGCTTAAAATTTCAAACAAAAGAGTAGTGACATCCCCAGCTTCCATGATATGATAAGCTTTGTTGTGGGCAATTGGAAGTCTGCAAGTTTTACTTTGTGTACTGCAGTGGTTGTCCTCTGTTAAGAAGTAGAAAGCAAAGATTGGCAACCTAAGGCAACAACAACCCTTGGCCTTTGACACAGCTAAATGGCCCCTAGAAAGTCATTAACTTTTCTGATCCTTAAAACTGTCTGTTAGATTTTGCAGAGGTTAAAGAGTCTGTCAATGTAACAGCCAGAAGATGTGTACTAGGCACAGATCCTCTTGTAATCACTAACAATGACATACAATCTAAATCCCAGGAAAAGCAATGTGCCAGACCCTCTTTGCAGGCAGTTTGTTGCTTTTAGCCTCTTCCAGATCAGAGAAAGCCTGAGACAGAACAACAATACAAACAACATACATATGGCTGACGTCCGCAGGATTGCCTGTTTGGCAGAGTGTTGAATTATGCACAAAGCACTATATAGGCAGGTGATCAGTGTTCTTTATGAAATTGAATTGGCTACATTTACCCTGAATCAATATTCTTGAAGTAGATTTGCTTTCCTTATGCTAGAATATCATTGGCATCTATTAAGCCCAAAAAATTGATGATGGAGCAAGATACTGTATGCCTTAGTCAATCTTCAAAGAGTTATCTGTTATTGAAAGTGAAACTGAAAAATCATCAAGACCCCTGTTGCAAACCCCAAACACTAAGATGGTCTAAACATATATTACTTTGTCTGGTTTAGAGAAGAGGGAATCTTCTACTATACCCTTGGTAGCCTCCTTGGAAGCAATAAACATATAAAGATGGTAGTCAGCTACCCATGTACTGAGAGTACAAAACATTTCAGGAACCTTGTATGCACAGTATTGACTATATAAATCAATCAATAGCTGCAAGTTATCTTTTAAAAGGCATTTCAAAATGCTTTTAAAATAAATCGAAAGGATATATATATATATATCCTGATTAATCCTGAGCTCTATGAAGCAAGTCTTAACCTTTTTAGAAGGGAAACAAACAGCAGCAAACCAAAACAACTTTCTGAAAGCAGGTCACGCAATGACCTTAGGATGACAAATCCTGTTGTGAGAAACCATCAAAATGTAATTAGAATTGACTGTAAGTCACTTTATGCAGGTGCAGATAGCTGAGCAGTTGACATCTGGTATCAGTTAAAGCAGTCTTAAAAAATCAATTCTCCCAGTGGCTGCATTTAATTGACACTGGTTTCGCTCAGTTCTTGCTATTTCCTTCACTGTATTCTGCACTTTATTGAATAATTTAGCAGAGATCAGTCTCAAGGAGCAAAGAATGTCTGTGCTGAGAAAGGTCAGAACTTCCAACTTAATGCTAGTCATTAGAAGATCTTTTTTCTGTGTTTTCCTGCACTGACATGTTTTAATTGTAAGCTGTACATATTTGCGAAGCTGTTTTTTTTACATAACAGGATATTTGAAGATTTTTCCTCAATTCAAAGCCTTTGATCCAGCTGGAGAGAGGTTTTGTAACATTAACATTGAAAGAAAAGTTTTGCCGTACAAAAACTCCACCTCCGCAAGGTCCCTGCAGTCCTGGAAATATTCATAATATTTAAATTTGTGCTGAAGTGAGTCGCAGATGTTTTTAAGAGGTCCTTAACCAAACAAGCTTTTTTCAACAACTGAATCACATTATACTTTAATTTTAATGGCCACGCATAATAAGGTGTGTGTCATCAGTAAGACACATATTCCATCTGAAAACATGGCTACTTTGAACTTCAATGACCTTCTATAGTTTTGGTACAAGAAGCATCTCAGTTTAAAAATCAGTTGCTGATGGTGTTAACAGAGTCTGGTTTCTTTTTCTCTCTAATAGCCCCCAGAGCAGATGTCCATGAGAGATTCACTTGTTATATATGCTAATCTCAAGTACCAAATGATGTGGGAAGCAATGTAATGAGTGGTGGGCAGAAAGCTGTCTGAGTAAGGGAGGACATCTTGAAATGTACCCGCAGGCCTGAGAACTCTGTGTTTTGTACATGGGAAGAGGTCTCTTCTGATGTTTAGTAAAATCTGGACTACGGCGACAAAGAACACCGTAATAAAGAAAAATTCAAGTAAACATAGACACATAAATGAACAACTGTAGAGAATTTTCAAATTCAAATGCCATTTTTGAAACATGAAAGTGAAACGATTACTTTAGTATTTTCCCATTGAACCAGTTGTAAAGACATACCTTACAACCATATCAACCATATTTTCAGGGTCACAGCGGATATGCTTCACCATGATAAACGGATTATACTGTTAAACATTTTAAAATAAATATTAATGGGTTTTTCAAACAAAGGGCAAGTCACATGTATGTAGATATTCTTACTTGTGGCATGTTAACATGCTATTGTATATTGGTATTTGTTGTTTTTAGGATTTGTTTAGGTTTTTAAGATTTAAATATTTGACTGAAGATGAGGCTGTGTTAAGTTTCATTGGAAATGCATCAAAGCAATATGTTTTGAGTTGTACTTTTTTAGGACATCAAGTTAAAACTTTTTTTTTAGTTAGTAACTACTGACATACAACACACAACTAAATGTCATTTGTACTCCTGAATCTATGTACCAGGAGATGCAGTTTACTTCGGTAAAAGTTCATTTTTGAACCATAAAAGAAGCATTACTGACCTGTTTTTTTTTAAACAGGAGTGGAAAAAAAATGAATTCTAAATTTTTTTTGCTCCATTTTTTTTGCACACCATATTAATTGCCATGTAAATATTAAATGCATTACAGTAAGTAACTAGAAGCATTAATCTAAAATGTAAAAGTAGAAATTTAGTATTTTCTACAGATATCCAAGCTGGCCATGCAATATATTACTACTAAATTCATACTAATACATATGTAGTTACATATTTACGTACACATTAATAAAAAAAGTCATGAAAATAAAAAACTACGTTAATAAAAACAAAATTGGTACTGTATACTAATTATAGTTCCATAAAAATAAAACAGTTTAACCATGTAAAAAATATTTAATTACACTATAGCATAACAGTGATGTTTTAAACTATTTAAGAGGTTCATTGATGTTTCTTTTGATAAATTGGCTCATCTGTCATCCAAATTTGCTACATTAGTGGAAAGCTTCTTAGGTGTATTTGTTTTCAAGACACAGCTTTATGCCTGCAAGGAAAAGTTAAAGCAGGAGCTGATAGATTGATGGATGAATGGATGAATGGACAGGTGGATGGGGAGACTGACTGACATGACATTCTGTCGTGCAAATGCTAAAGGCCATGGCTTTTACATGCAGCCTGAACAGTAACAGATGTATAGACTTTCTCTTAGAAACAGTCAAGGAAAATAACAGGTTTACTATGTTATTGTTAATACTGATAAAGTCATGTAGTTTGGGGTTTTTCATAATGATTTAAATTAATACTGCCATTGGAATTTCACTTTTTTCCATCTGTCTGAGATGTTGACATTTAAGGTGATTTACACGTTAATAAACCTATTTTTTTATATACTGTATTACTGTAAGTAGATCAAGGCAGGCTTTCTTGTCCTTTGATTTTATTTCTCCCTTAGGTATCACAACCATAGGTAAGATTCTGTTCATTTCCTTCATACTCATATTAACCAAAAAACAAGTTGATTTTAGTCTATATCTATGCCAATAAATATATGATGAATTCCAAATGGCTTTCAACAAATATGAATATGGAAACATAGACATTCTTTAGCTAATTATGAAAACACAGAGACTTTAACAATCCCTTAACAATCAATTGGTCAACAATTAATTTGTAAAACAATGTACATGTTCTTATGTGCAATATATAAAAACAAATCTAACTGTCTGGACAAATCATAATTTCATCAATACCTATTCTAAGTCATATGTAATTCTGGAAAAGCAATACCTGTAAAAGGTACATACTGTATATAATAGCATGCAAATTTGATTAATGAAAAATTGCTTAGGTTAATGAGCAACATGACAATTGGTAAGAGGCTAATCTATATTTCTCTAACTGTACCAGGCAAAAAATGATGGACCCTATTGTTAGTGTGAAAAATACAGAATATAGTGAAAAAATCGTACTCTGAGTTGAGACATTTAATAGAACGATGTTCTTAAGATTCCTTGAGGAAGATCTCAAGAGCTAGGTGATAACACACCATTTATAGTTTGTCAATTTTGTAAATGCTATGAGCTACACTTGTGCATTGATTCTGGAAAAGCCAAAGTGACAGAAAGATATTTTTTAGAAAGTCAATTCAATCATGTCCATGAAATTCCACAGGAGACAAATCTTATCCTTTCTTTTCGTGACCTTTATAGCCTAGCAGCACAAGGTCAAACAGTTCTACAGCTCAGATATTTTATGATGCATCTTGTCCCCTGGGCTCTGGACAAGAAAGTAAGTGTGGTTTCTTGTACCGTAATGAGACATCCATTTTAACCCGAAACAATTACTGTGGCAATAAATCTACTAATTATAGAGAATGTGATATACTGTGTTTTAAATCAAATATTCCAATAGTATTTTTGTCATATACTTTACTACCTCCTTGAAACATTGGGAAACTTAACTGACAAATTTAAGTTTAAAACCTAGGATCGATTGTCACTGGTATTATTTAAAAATGTCCCAACATCTTAAACTTCTCAATAACAGAAATTAACGTTGGCAAAGCATTTAGCTTACTGTCAGTCAGCATTGACAGTGTACAGTAGTCCATATCCCACCTTTGTGTAATTAATATTTTTCAATGAAATCAAAGTCAATGAAGGTACTCACAAATCAAAGACAAGATAGTGGTGTCCCTCTTCAGAGATACTGTCATGAAGTCTCACTGAAAAAAAATAGAGTTGTATGTAAAACTCTAGGTTTGGGTATGTTGCTGGAGACACAGTTATTGAAAAATGTTTTAATCCCAGTTTGTTAAAAAAATAAATAAAAACACAGTAGAAAAGAAGGATTTGGGGGTGGGTTTGGATTCTTAAACTAACCTCTAAAAAAAGTACAATTTAAAATGTTATTGTCGTCACAGAATTTACCTGAACAGGACCAAACATGGGAACAGACTTCAGACCTCTTTGTGCCATTCAATAAGAGAGATGTGAAATGAAGAAAAGGCCAAGGCAGCAATTTTAACTTTTCCTCTTCCTCTTGGTCAACTGCTTTAAATGGGCAGGTCTTGCCTTGTCATGTTATAACCAAAATTGAAAACACAAGAACCAGAGTGATGTTCCCTCAGACTAAAGCCAGTCATCAGTGGGGACTCACTTAAAAGTCAGAAGACAAAAAAAGTATTTGAGAATGATAGTGTACATTTTTTCACCACACATATTAACTATTTGTGCAACCCAGTATAAATCATGAATTCAAGTTACATAATCACATTTAGAAGCAAGTATAAAATACTGATATGCACTTTTTCTGACTGTATATTATCTGCAGGTTTGAATGAAAAAGCAAAGAGTAACAGAATTATAACCTAATGTAGTGCCCTCTCAAAATATCCACTAAGCAGCCTCCCTTCACAGATTGATTTATTGGTCTCCTCATTTTTATATCAGATCACATGGGCTGCTAATAAAAAACAGTGTTAACATACAGTACATCAAGCATAAATACAATATCAGCTACCAAATGAAACCTAAGCTACCGAAGATACTGGTTTTAGAGTTCTGACTCCTTTATTTAATGTTTAGAATAATCAGGTTTAGAAAATGGATATATTTGGAGTTCTAGATTGCATTCCCACAAGTATATAGTTTTCAGGGAAAAGAAAGAAGTGTTTAGCGTGTGTGGGTGTGTGTTTGCCGTTCGAAAACACGTGTGTATGTGTGTGGGAGCAGGAGAATGAGATTAAATGGAATACTGCATTTTAGATGTCTTAACCTGCCAATACCATTGCAGAGCAATGTGTTTACATTACATAAGCCTTTCCTTCAGGAGTGATTTTAACATGTAGTTCAGCAGTACAATTGAGTGCATAAATATTTTATTTTTTACATTTTTAAGGAAAAGCTTTAGGGTCATTTATTTACATTTTAATCTCTGCCATTTCATCATTTTTAAAGAATGTTTGGACTTTGCAACATACTACATAGTTGATTGTAAATTTGAATTTGTTGAATATCGTGGAGTCAGACTGTCTAAATCTAATTAAAATTTACCTACATCAAAAACTGAAAACAGAAGCTGTGGGTCATAATAAAGGAGCAGAACAGAAATGCTGATGAAACTTTCTAAACAGAGCCCACCACTTTATTTGTTCAATATTCAACTCACTATTTAACAACAGAACAGGGTGTTTACCATGATTGGCAATATGTTGCTGTGTTATAAATGAATACCTTACATAGCATCTATCTGAAATGACTGCCACCCATGAAGTCACAAAGAGTAAAAGTGTCACAAGCTAGAATATGCCATCTGGTAGTGGCAGTTTTCATGCCTAGAGAGGAAATTGTGACAAATGTTCTGAGTTCCAGTTCCAGGAGAGTCTTGTCAGAGTCTTATCTTGTGAAACACAAGACCCAGAAGTGTTATATTTCTGTTTAATCCAGGTGAAGTGACAGCCATTTAAAAAGAGTGAAAGATCCAAGGAACATATTTTCTAAGTACCTAAGAAGTCACAGTTTACATTCTTCATATTTTCTCCACTATCCAGTCTATTTTCTTTTAAAATGAGATGGGAGTTAATGCTTAGTATGATGAAACATTTTGAATTTGTGTTGTAATTTGTATTGTATTAGAACACAAATCCTAATTGAGTATTATTGGCAGAAATCGAATTTGTGAGAAAGCTGTACCTCCCCTGTGGGCAGTGTAACTGAGAGGGTAAATCTCTAATCTCAGATGTGCTGTGGGTTCAAGAGCACACTGCAGACACTGCTATTGCACATTGGGTTAGGTTACTTTACCCCGCATGGTCCAGTCCAGCCATCTGTGTAAACGAAAACCAGCACTGCTGGGCATATAGGCCTTGTGATGGACTGGTGCCCAATCCAGGGTGGAGAATCACTTTATGCCTAGAAACCAGGATAAAATCTGTCCCAAGGAGCCATTGAGTATGTTGAATTGGGATTGTCCACCTGATTATTCCTTTTTCTTTCCCCGGGGTTATTATCAGAAGTATTTTAATATTGTTTAAAAAGTATTTACCTATCCAGCTGCACTATTGTGTATTATGCGATTTGGCTTCATTTTGGTTTAGAAACCAAGCAGCTTTCTTTATCATGCTAATATTCCTTCAGGCACTTCGTGAGGATCTATGGTTGTTTGGGATGAGGACTTGGCTGTTCATTTGTTTCATATCCTAAGCATATCTTTTTTTTCCCCATTGGAGACACAATTGTATAAGAGGAATGTTTAAGTGTGTTTAAATTTCTTGTGCTCCAGATTTACCAACCGTAAAGGAGTTCACTATATCTGACTATGCAATATATTGGATTGATTACATAATTGACAAACAAATCAGAACACCCCTGAGGAATTAAGCCTCGCACCCTTGTTCAAAATAACAGTAAATGGCTGCAATATTCCTGACTGATGAGGTTACACTAGCTGAATGGCTGATCTTTCAGCTGGAGTTTTTCTTAAAAGATCCTTGTATGCAACTGTATAAATTTAAATTGTCATTTTTGTACAGAAATTGTGGCAATTATTCGATGATACTTTTTCTCTATATATTTGTTTACTACCCAATTATTATTATAAATCAGTTTCGCCCTGGGGTGTCTTAACCTGGCTCAAAATGGTTTTGTTTTGTTATGTGGCATACTGAAAGAAGTGCAGTACCTTCACAGTTTTCAGTCAGAAGCATGAAAAATATCTTGGAGCTTGGCAGTTTACAGTTTTCTATCTGAATGTAAAGTGACACACACAGAAAAGCAAATTAAACTGCTTTCATGAATGAGTGAAGTGGCTTTCCAGTGTCAATTAACTTGCATGGAACATGATCTCGGAGCTTACTTTGTCATGATTTACTTGGAACAGCCAAGCAACAGCGTCATTTCAAAACCCATAGATTTTGCATGCTGTTAAGAAAAAATATTTTTAAAGTATCTATACATTTTGTGTTGTACGAGCATTTTAATTTCTTCTAGATGTTTGTTGAACAGGATTTTGAAAAAAAAATCTTCTAATGTATGCACACACGTCTTAATACACATTTGGTAGATCTGACTGATTTGTATAACTCAGAACGTTTAATGATCCATCTAATCCCATAACCTAACTTGAATGCTATTTTTAAACATTTAGAGTAATGTGAAAATACTCATTCTAAAATCACAGTATATTCCAGCGAAATCTCTTACTATGACCCAGAATGGCATTCTCCCACCTTGTTCCTTTGAATAATCTTTGCCTGAATGGAAAGAGTCATTAGCCCTATACACAGGCAATTACACTGGACAAATGTCTTTGTGATAATTGCACAGCCATGTGACTCCTCTGCAGTTGTAAAGGCATGATAAGGGCAATGTTTACATGCTGTGGGGCGCATCCATTTGTGATTCTAAATGACTTGAAACACCTCACTTTCAATTACTGAATTAGTGTGCCAGCAGGACCTATATTAAACAATCAGTATTTCAAGGAGGCAGATGAAGGGCCTTGATCTACCTTTGTATCATTGTGAGTAAAACCTAAAAACAGCCATAATATGTTTTCTGAATTTTGATGGAAATTGTAGACTCTTTCTCGTGGTTTGAATTGTTCTGTTTTCCCACTAGATGGATGTTTTCACTTGGGTTGTAAAACAGTGGTTCTCAATATCCTGTCTAAAAGGGTCTTTATTTCATTCTTAAATCAGGCACTTTTATTTGTGAAAATTGTTCTTTCCCCAGTACTCAAATAAAACAGGCAAGAAGAGTCATGTGAGGGTGATTAACAGAGTTAAACTTCAGCTATCTTGTTTGCAAATTTGCTAATTAGTAAAGTATAAAGCAATGAAGATTTTGTTTGTTTAACCAATATAGGATTGATTGTTTCACTGCATTCATTACAACAAGAGCTAATACAAAGTATACTGCTGTGTAAGTATACTGCTGAAAAATGTTTTATGTTGTGTATTTGTTTCCAAAAAGTCTTAACCAGAACACAAAAACAGTCAGTCATGATCCTGCCTCACAGCACTCAGATTCTGGACTGGGACACCTTCTGTGTGTAATGTACACCTTCTCCATGTCCACATGGGTTTTCTGAAAATCTTCCCATGTAAGCTTCTGTACTTACTGTACTATACATGGTGTCTTTAAATTGTCTCTGTGTGTGCATGTGCCCCCACTAATGGGCTGGAGTCCTGACCAGGATGTAGTCCCATCTTGTCCCCTATGCTTCTAGGACAGGCTGCAGGTTGCTGTGTCTCTACCAGGGGTCAGTGGATTTTTGGTAATAGAAAATATATATATAATTGTATGGTTCTGCCCTGTAGTTTGGATTTTAACATTTAAAGCACAACTTTTAGGTGTGATCCTTAATCTGCCCAGTAATAATGATAACCAATGATTGACAAAGAGCCAGGAGTTATAGCTTTGATGTAGTAGACATTATTGGAAGATGTAGTTCAGGTGGGTAGCTGCGTCAGCATGCATAGTCTGCAAAGGAACAAGTTATAGGTTTATTCCATGCTGGAAAGAGAAGAGAGAAAACACAATGTTTCGGCTGTGAAGCTGTGAAGGGCAGACAGCAAAGATTAAAGAGCACAGAAGAACAAAAGCTGGGAGAGAGGAAGAGTCAGGAGGGGCAGAGAGGCCACTCAGGAAGTGCAAAGTGGAGAGGCGTGGAGAAAGGTGTGAAGTCAAAACCAGTTTGAGAATAGAGAAGATTACATGAAAA